TTTACAAACGAGTAGGTATAAAGTATTAAGTAAAACCGATAGAACTTATGAAATCTTACATACCTAAAGATAATATATTTGTGTATAGCATACCATACTTTCAAAAATGTTAAACACGTTTGTAGACATTTAATTAATGTTTTTCTTAAATAATATATTTAAACAGAAAACTCACCTTTTGCAGCTTGTGATTGTGTTTGTGTTATTAAGATAAGAATGTTGCTAATTAAAAGTAAAGAATTGTAAAAGTACATTTTTAATAATTGTGTATAATATTATGCAGATTTAAAACTTTATTCGCTCATACCGCCAGAGCTATTAATTAACCTAGTCCATACAAAAGCTGTTTATAAATTATAATAAATTAATTTGTATCATTTATTCTGCTAGTAATGTGTTTTTAATAAATTAGTATACATTTTATTGATTATAATATAATATTTACATTAAAGTTATTTGCACAAAATATATCAAGCGTGTTTTTATACAATTGCACACATGACCACATGTTGCATGTTCAAACATTTTTTGTATTTCAATTTAATTCTGACAGTTTATAAGCATTATAGTTAGTAATTATATGCATAGGAGAGAATATTTATTATTCAGAAAATTGCTAAAATCTAAAACTATATAATTATTTTTTTCAACTACAAAGATATACTCATATAGTAATATATTACATTTTTTTTTATTAGTTATTACCCACCTCGCTGTGTCCGCAATCTACCGCAGGTAAACTGTTCATATAACCATAGGCGAGTCTCACAGGCATAGGCGTGTCTACGGTGGCAGCCTAGGGTGCCTGGGCTGCCCCTGCAATTTTTAAAAGATGTCGGTCAACCGGGTTTGAAGTCGGAATGGTTACAACATTTCTTTTTTTAAAAAACCATCATTTTTGTGTGGGTATCGTTATAATTACCATTTACTTACAAAGATTGATTTTCTGACTTCCGAAATCGGAAAAACCTACTATAAAGACTTGAGACAGGCGACGACGGTACCTACAGTACGCATCTAGGTATTATTGATATTATTGTAGTATTGTTTTTGATTTGTAGTTAGATGGTGTAATCCAAGGCTGTAGATTAATAATATTTCTGAGATTACTGTAGATTATAATTGTAAATAGATGATTTGGACTTTTTTTAAATTATTTAAATATTTCATTGTGAAGGGGGGCTTGAAAAAATACGAATTGGGTGTATAGGGCTTTTTTTAGTTCACTAATAAGGTAGCGCCGGTTATTAGCTAGGCTGCCCCTGCCGACGAAGTCTAGTCACGCCTATGCTCACAGGCAACGCCACGCGGGATGGCTAAAACTTAAAATATAATATGATTTTGCTTCCGTACGCACAGCAAATTATACCCAAAAAGAGTTATTTATTAACAACGTTTTCCTGGGAAACGCCAGATTATTCAACTACTAGTTTTATTAGGAGTATACCTACTTACAACATTTTACTTAAATGAACATTTTTTTTTTTTTTAATTTTCACTTTTCATTAGAAATTCTATCAATATAAGTGTAGAAAACAAATCATAATTGTATAATATCAGCTAGTAATTAATAACTATAGATAGAATATATATGACTCAAAAAACAGCTAAAGCCTAAAATTTGCAGTAAAACTATGAAGCACTATAAACAAATCTAATTTACCTAACATATAAGTTGACGATTTAAATTGCACTTCAACATTTATTATTTATTATACAATAATATAAATGTAGTTTTGATACGTAAATACAATTTCCCTATACCTACTGGTATATACAAATTTGAGATAAAATAAAAAGTTTATAAGAATGGGCTAGGTCAGTATCCAAATTAATTTTCTTTTAAAGTCCGAACTTAAAATATTTTACAAAATTGACAAAATATAATATATTATTATCTATTGAAGTTTATATGTTCAAAACAAAAGTGGAAGTAGGTAACAGTAAGTACTAGTACTTACTAGTAAGTAGTATAGTGTACTTGTCATTATGTAGGTCACTGGATATGGTATGTTTATGGGAGCCTATAAAAATAACCTAACCTTTTATTTATTTGGTACCTACATAATATAATACCTATTTTGGTGACTTAAGGCCAGGGGTGCTAATAGCATACTGCATATTACAGGGACTGGAACCTAACCGAAAAGAACAGGTTTTGTTACCGGAACCCTTTGAATATTGGGAACCGAAACCTCACCGACATCCTTATTTAAATTAATTTTAATACCGGAACCTCACCGAAACCCTTATTTACATTAATTTAAAAACTGGATCTTACCGGAACCGATACTTTTACTTGACAAATTTTTTTACATAAGTCAAAAACCAAATCAGGCAACAATTTTTCTATTTTTTAAGAACCCCAAAAAAACAGAAAACCTAAATGTTAGTTTTTCTGGGAACCAAACCGGAACCGTAAATATCACCAAGGTTCCATTCCCTGGTTCATACCCCTTGTTGTCTAGCTGACTACTATACATATATGCCTATAGTTATCGATCAACCGTGAGGTCAGTTTGTTAAAGTGTAGTTGCCTTAGATCGTCGAATTATCGCATTAACCGATGTCTTAACGAACTTTGGCTTTCCTAGATAGGTAATAGGTACCTACCTCCATTTCGTCGGTTTTAAAGGTCGGCGGTAAGCTTTCCCGAGTCTTAAAATTAGTTAACTCTACCGGTAGATAGTAAGTAGGCCTGGTAGGCGCGGGCCTACCCAGATTTTCTTTCACAAAAAAAAATAATATTTAAAATAATATAATCACAGATACTAATAGACGTATTTACAACAGTATTATGTTAAGGCCATGCAGAGAGTTATACGCATGATATATTTGCTATACAAACGAAAAATAATTTTCTATACTGAAAACGTATAAAAGCCAAATGGCCACACAGAAGTATGTACACCATGTTCGCTACCTACGTTAGAATCGTTGAATACATCATATTTGGGCTGGTCACCTTGCGTACTCCGCTACGCCCACAATATATTGATATCTGTCACACCAACCGACCTGTGTTTTTTACTCAACATAAATTGGACAGGTTCGCCGAGCAAGATCTGTGAGTATACTAGTGTGCAGGTGGTGTGTGTAGGTGTGTATGTGTGTGGGTGTGTGTACACAATTAAGCTAATAATAAAAAAAGGCAGGTAAGTGGAGTAAGTGGTAAGTGGAGCTGTACAGTAGGTTACAAGTTGGTCATTGTTTAATGGATTGTATTAAACTTGAATTCAATGATATAATATCATTGTATAAGAAAAACGATTCTGAACGGAGACGGTTTGTCAGTCTGTATATTTTATATTGTTATTAATTATTTTATTTATTTAATTATTATTTTTTTATTCGTTGCTACGGTGATAAACAAATTGTTAGAAATAAAATCCCATTTTAAAGCGGTTTTCGTAATTGTTCAGTACTTTTTCCCGTGGCATTAAATAACTATTGAGAAAATCGAAAAATGACCTCTCTAAAGTACTATCTTGGTCCAATTTTCTAAAAGATAAGGTACTATATGTTGAAATCAAAGCACTCCTTCTGGTAGAAATTTTGTATACAGGTATAAAAAAATAAAAAAAATAAATAAATAAACACCATTGTAAAACCACTAGCTTCCTTGCTCCGCTCAGAATCTAAAATAACAATACGGTTTGTAATAGCAAGGAAGTGTTGTGTATTACTAGTTGTAAAATGACAGTTTATATATATATATATATATATATGCACAAGAACACAACGATATAAAATATAATAATAATATAATATGGCCCTCTTGGCTCAATAGAGTAAAAATAATATAATAATGTTTCAATAATACACAATATAATTTATGGTCCTTTTAACCCAACAGGTAAAAAATATTTTAATACTTGGTCGTCTGATAGTATGATACAACTGATCAATAGGTACACGTATAGTAATAACTATAATAAATAAAATGGTCCTTAAGGGCAAAACAGAACAGTATGATACTATGATAATATATAAAACACTCATGGTTTGTCGGTGCTCTGCTGGTCAGCCGCTACCTAAGATATATAATAATAATAATAATAATAATTCGCGGCGATTCGCGCACACGAATAAAAATATAATTCTTTGTGGCTATTAGCGTCACAAGGAAACAATACAATTATAATATTTAGATGGCGATTCGTGCCTACACCAATTACAAAGTTTTATATAAAAAAGAACGTTGTCTTCCGTTCGTAAAAACCATGCCACCGGCCTTGGCAGCCGTGATAATTTTCAGTGCATAGAGCGGCATAGACCGGTTTTACATATTATATAACTCACAAACACAATTAAATACAATAATAACGAAAATAAAAACAATACTATAATTTAAATAAAAACAAATAATATGTTGTGTGTGTGTGCCGGTCGGCGGCGAGATATAATATTGAATGCTTGGATTATCTAGGCGGCGAAACATTATATATCACCTACATCACGACTAGCTGGGCCTTAATAAATTAAAATCAAATTATGTCACTGAAACTGTTTCGGAGTGTGTTTTGGAAATATAGGCGCAATTTGGGTTAAATTTATAGGGGTGCTAGATTTATGTCGACTAAAGTGATCAGTGAAGGGCTTCGCCCCCACAAACTCTCCATTTATACATCATCATTTTATACACCTTCGCATTAGTCTTAATATAAACAATTATCTATAACATAATAAATTATGATCTATATTTATTGTTTCGATTTCGATATATAAACAATAAACATGCACCATAACCATTTTCGATTTCGGTGGGGTACCCTCTACGACTAGAAAATCGGTTGAACGCAGCTAGAAACGCTGCTGTTCGATATGTTTGTACCTATTGTGATTGTCAATCCGTTGATTGGTCAATAAGTTAACCTTATAACTGTTAGTGTAGTTTGAGCACCACTGTGAAGCAACACTTTGTGATGATATTCAAATATGAGATTGCTTACATAGTGCTTTGGTAAAATTATTGGATCTCTTTGATTATATGGTAGAAATTAATTCTCTAATCGCCCTTTCCCTCGAAGAAGACCATCGTTATCGAGGAAATGTCTTAGATGTCTTAGTGTACTTGTTTTCTTCACTTCCTGACCATTTTGTACATCTTTAATTTCGTTGTCATATTGTGCTCTTTGTACGAATTTAAGAATAGCCTTTGACTTATTTTGGAATTCAGCTATAGTAATATGTTTTGATTTAGCGAGGTTGGTTTGAAAACGTAGACAAAATGCTGTAACTCGAACTAACTTCTCAAAAGAGGAATACTTGTGTAGCCATGACTGTTCAACTGGATTTTGTTGAGTAACTAATACAGTAGGTGCTCGATTGGTAACTAGTTTTGTCAGCAGTTGACCTGGTTCTCGTGACAACCATTCTGGTCCGTTCCACCATAAATTTGTTCCAATCAGTTGACTAGAAAAGGCCCCACTAGAAATTAAATCTGCTCGATTTTCTCTTGTACTAATATGATACCAGTTAGCTTGCCATGTTAATTGTTGAATTTCTATGATTCTGTTTGCTATACATGTTTCTTTTTCAGTAGGTGGTATTGCGATGCAACTAAGTGCTGCTGATGAGTCACTCCAAAAATTACAATGTTCTGGTGGAATCGCCAAATTTGTTCTAATTCGATTAGCACAACCATACCACATAGCTCTAATCTTGGAATAGATATAGTTTTCAACTTAGAAATCCGAGCCTTTGAGCATAATAATTGGACTTCAATCTTTTCATCATGCATTTGGTATTTATAAACAATAAACATGCACCATAACCATTTTTGGATGCGTCACAGAATGCATGTATCTCGGCGTATGCAAAATGCGTATTTGTGTTTAGTATATACCGATAAGTAGAATGGTTTCTAGCTGACTCAATTGCTTGGTATAACTATTCCACTGTGATTCAAGTTCTTCTGGTATCGGTTCATCCCAAGAAAGTTTTAAGGCCCACAGACTCTGCATAATGATTTTTGCTTTGAGGACTACTGGTCCTAATAGTTCAAGTGAGTTCAGTTCTAGCTTTGGAACCTTCTCCGTGTGGCCCATGTTATAATATTCTTGGATAAACTTTTGATATTGAATGTTGATGTTAGGTTGACGCCCGCGTTTCTTTTCATTGGACATAAAGCGTCGAATAGCCAATTCCCGACTCCAGCGATTATCTAATCAAGACTTGTTAATTGTGCAACTAGACCGTTTTGTAACTTCAATCGTTGATTCAATAATATATTGTAAAATACATTTTCTAAAATTAATAGGTCCACTAGATCAGATTTATCAAACGATGGATCAGCAGATAGTTTAGACTTAATGTTTCAAAGTGGCCTTTATATTTGGATTAAATGGTGATGATGGCAATTGAGCAGTTTTTGATGGTAGCACCAAACATTTAATGTTAATAGTGTATGAACTATGTTTGGATGTAATTTGTACATCGGTGGTGAGGGTTCGGCTTCTGAATTGACTTCTCCATGCGCTCCAAGTAGTTGCACAGATTTTTCGTAAATACATTAATTTCTTTCAACAGTGTGGGTTCTTTCGTGGTCTTTCTTGATGATTCCCATGCCTTTCTCATTTCCTCATCAAACTTCCTTATAACGATGTTAATCAAGATATAGTCCCAGGTATGTATTTCTATTCAAAGTTTTTCTAATGACCGTAAATTACCTTCTAGTGTTTCATAAAGTGTTCTCAAACCTCGGTGAGACTCGTTTTGTAATGGTCTGTGATCGATCAGCCATTGAGATGTAGATCTATCATGAATTGTTTGTTTTCGAAACATTCTTGCACGAGACTCCATGCAATCGTGTAGTATAATGCTGGTATCGTAATTGATTCAAGAACATTATTTGCTGTGTCTTCAAGAGCGCCTTTTCAGTAGTAAAATTTTTGAATAGGCGAGAAGTGTATATTTTCATGTACTAGAATTTCGAATGTATTTTTGAAGTTCAACCACTTTGTAATATCACCGATAAATTTTGGAAGTGGCACTGGTGTCATGAATGTGATGGATCTATTAGCTCAATTTCTTCTTGCGTTTCCATAAATGACTGACATAAATTTTCATACTTGCTTAGACATACTTGCAATTGCTGCATATCTTGCAAATTGTCAAAACTTTCAAAATATTTTTGTAATTTGGTTGTCTTACCTTTATATACGCAACATCAATCGATTAATCTTGTGAATTTTTTTTTCACTTCAGTAGTATATATTTGTATGTTCACAGCCAGCTTTTCCACGGTCAAAAAAAATTGTTCAAGGTGGGAATGTCTGCTTGAAGCACTCCGATTTACCGCGTAACACAATACAGAGATTTCACACTGATTTTCTACTAAATTTTGTCTCACACAAAAAAATTTGTCATTTACTAAATTTTTTTGGTAAATCTTAAAACTAAAATAATTATTTCAAGTAAAAGAACACAAATTATTAAATCATAGTTTTTTTATTGTTATAAATAAATTCTTAATTATATTTACACAAATTTTCTTACTTCTTTAGTAAAATAATTTTACAATACGATCATGAATTAATAAACAGTAAGCAGTCACAAATGTGAGCGATTCTGAAGCTTCAATTTCCAATTGAACATCTACTGCTGAGGCTGTAGCTGAATTGTTATGTTTTGAAGTATCGATGACTATAATTGGGGCGTTTGTTAGAAAAGTAGAAGGACTCAACATCGGGTTACGATTACTTTTTTCATAGTACGATTCTTGAAAAAAATTAGTAAATGACAAATATTTTTGTGTGAGACAAAATTTGGTAGACAATCAGTGTGAAATCTCTGTATTGTGTATGTGGTAAATCGGAGTGCTTCAAGGCGATATTCCCCCCCTTGAACAATTATTTTTACCGTGGAAAAGCTGGCTGTGAACATACAAATATATACTACTTACTTCTTCTTCCATGTTGACTCCTTGATGGTATAATTTTATGGACAAAGAATTATGGAGAGGAATTGATTTTGAGAGTTGATTTACCTTACAATGTGTAGTATGTTTGTTTACATCGACTAATTATCCAACTTAATGATTAACATATATTAATTTATTAACTGAGCTTAATCTTACCGGATAAACACTTTAAATGCAATTGATTTAATCCACTCTACTACACTGAGATCTGTAATTATGATTAATGACAATAAAAAAAAAACATGACGTGATCTCGCGTGTATGCGATACATTGCCTTACTCCAATTACCTTACTGCCAAAATGATGGCTGACATTCCTAATAAAGTTGCACTGTGAAATGATTTAGTCGATTACCCCAATGCACCGCTGTATACTTGGTTACACCTTCTACTCCGTGATGAACCTCTTATTTGAGTGGTCGCGCCGTTGACAGAGATGATAAAACTACGCTGTGATCTAAAGGTCAACCACTTCGCATATTATGTTGTGTGCGTGATTATTTCACTGGGAACTAAAATATTTAAATAGATTAATAAAATTAACTATACTTCAAAAAATACTTGAACAATATTGATCGCTGTTGACGTGCTGTCGTTGCGTAGATAAATTTTATTTTTATTGATCCCAATGATCAGTATTCTTGATTGGTACGTATCTGGACTCGAATGAAACAAATGTTAACATTATTCCTGGCCGATGTTTATTACACTTGAGCCGTGCATTTTTTTTTTTATAAATTAACACTTTTTGTACTGTATTTATCATAATTCATTTTAATTTACATTTAAATGGTGAATATTTTGTCCATTGTAGGGATGGCAGGATATGTGTGCACACATACACAAATGGACTGTTACTACAATTATACGGTATTGCGAAAGGTATGGTCCGATAAGCGGATATAATAATAATATATAGTTTTAATAACAATAATAGTAATAATAACAACGTTAATCACAACAATGATATTAATAATAAAGGTAATAATACGAATGATAATGATAATAATAAAAACATAATAATGATAATAAGAATAATTGCACATAACATGTATACAGATAATAACATTGATAATCATTCAGTATTTAAAGACCAAATACTAAACATTGTATTATACAATGGAACATAACGGCTATTATAAAAAAATTAACTATTTAAAGATGCTTATACACAAATACTCACCTACCGCTATATGTTTACAAGAAACAAATTTAGACATCAACCACATAGCAAATCTAAAAAAACTATACTGAAGAGAAAGAGTCAGCAAGGATCTAAAATATATGTAGATAAATCTTATCCAATCCTCATTGAATGCAAACAAACAGAAACTGAAAGAACCAAACACAACATACCAGAATTCCTATATCAATCACTAGGCTGAAATATATTAGCCACTCAACGTACACTAAACTTCATAAAATAATTGAATAGAAAATTTATTGAAAGAAACATATATTATGTAAAGATAGGATTATGAAAAAAATAATGTATAAACTAATACCATGTAAAAAAAACTTCAGCCAATTACCACCGCTGCCGAGGATTAGTTTCTAATAAAATAAAAAAAAACAAACTTTTAGTAAATAATATTTTGATATATTTATTGAATTTTGCTAATAAATTATAATAAAACTCATTTAAATAAAATACATTTTATATAATATTATTGTTGCCTATACCGGGCCGTAACTCAAAATTAATTTCTGTTGATGATTTAAAAAAAAGTACCTATTCTAACGAAAATATAAAATTATTCTGGTACAATAATTACTGGTTATTTTGTTTCTACTAAAAAAATAAGTGGGATCCGGATCTTTGGATTCATTCAAAAGTAACGGCATGTAAGTTTCCCGAAATATAATGAGAAAAGTTTAACATAAAATTATCTAATTATGTGTTTGTGGATATTATCCAAAGTTTGTTGATGCTATGTTTTCTATTTTCTGGTAAATAGATCACAAGGTTTTGAGGTGACACCATTAAAACCATCTAGAATAGCGTAGAACGAAGCAAATGGTTTTTCACATTTACAGAGATTTGTAGGATCATTTAAATCTAAATTAGAAGTAAAAAATCCAACTCCGTTGTCTTTGGCAAATTTACCCTAAACAATGAAATTATTAAAAATAGATACAAAAAATATTTTTATTTTTCAAAAAAATATTACTTTTTCATTAAATGACTCCAGAGTATCTGAACAAAAAAGACATGTATCTGCCGGACTTGTACACATCTATAATTTGAAATAGTTATAAAATGTTAAATAATTTTTTATAAAAATTGGTAAATATTTTTAGGTAATTCATCGAGTTTTCTATTATATTAATTTTTTCAAACTGTTGTGCCCATATCATAAGACAAGATCATTCTTAAATATAATAGAACAACATTCAACACTATATTATTTCATACACTCGTGTTTTTCCCCCTGGTATAAATGGATAAAACAGCAAATTTGTGTTCGGCAGTTTCAAATTTTTGTTGTAAGCTTAAATATTAGAATGAATTGAACTAGGTAGTATCTTTCTTAAAAATGAAAATATCCTAAAAACTAACGAGAGAACACAGATATTCTTAGTGGAGCTTTGCACTGAGATTTTGGGGCTATGTGTATTCGGGTATTAAAACACCAGAATAAAAGATTTAAACAAACGTTTGGGTGTTAAGAACCGTTATTATTCGAGTACATATTGGTTAATGCAGGTGTTCAGTAGTCCATACAAAAACATCTTTTTTAGATTTGATCGGAGCAATGTATCATATATTTATTGATTTTACAATGATGTGTGATTTTTTTTTGTGTCAGTCATCACTGTTTGGGGCAGTTTTACTGCTACAATTTTTTACAACATTTGATATGTTTTGAACTGTTTTGAACGGGCATTTTAAATTTCCATTTTTTTAGTTTTGTATTCTATAAAATATATTAGTACAATTTTATTTGTCGGGTAAAACTGCTTGACAATTTAATAGAATGCTAATAATATATTGTTTCAAAGACAGATCTAAAATATTAAAAATCCAGTTACAATTTTTTTGATAAGCATTTAAAGTTCAAATATTGACAAAATACGGAAAATTTAAGAAAATTTGCAAATTATTTTGAGTCAGAAATTCATAAAAATTTTTCTATTTAAATCTAATATTTGAAAATATAATACAAGATTCCTCATAAGTATACCTACCTAACGAAAACCGGTAAAAAACCGTAAATTTGAGAATTGTAAACCGATAACCGCTTTTAGTTTTGGAATGCTAGAAGCGGTTATTGGTTATCGGCAATCAAGGTAAATATCTAAATATTAACATCAAAGCGGTTACCTCGTATAAAGAATCCCGGGTTTATAATCAAAACCTATTCCCGACCAAAAAATTAACGGTTTTTTAGTGGAATTTAATACTTGAATTATGTCATTATTACAATATTATAGTTGAATTTAATTTTCCAGCTATTTTAAAATTTTTTTCCCCAATTAATTGAAGTCGAGTATTGCTTATCTGATAATGAATATCACATATATATATAGGTATAAGTGTATAACTATATTATATTATAAATGCCGTCATAAACATCGTCGTCCTCGCGCTCTGATTCCTATTACGAAATAGTTGGTGGAATAGGGGCTTTAGGGCTTAGTCTATTTAGCATTTACGATATTTTATTACTGTCGTCTGTCACAATATATATTTTATTGTTTTATACATTGGCAAATTAAATCATATTAAGTTTTTGATTTTGGAATAATTATAGTTAAGTTATCAACCCACGAATGACCTAAATAAACGGTTTTAAAAATATGCTTAAAAAATTGAAAAAAAATTATTTTTAAAAACCGGTTTTAACCGGTAACCGATTACCAAAACCCCTTATCAACGGTTTTTAATCGATTAACGGTTATCATAGTGTTTGAAATATCTTTAAAGGGCTACAGCCCATTTGCGCCCCGAGGGATGGGGACAGATGCGCCTGAAAGATAAGGTACTTCCTGCCGATTTATAGCCCATATGCGCCCATTTTACATACTGCAGTGTTGCCGTTGTGATTCATAAAATGGATTATTTATATCTTGATAGATACTTAGATTAAGTAGATTAGTAGATGATAGTACTTTAATAATAATTATCTAAATAATCCAAGTTGTACATGCAAATTCTATACGTTGCTTCTCTTCATTTCGTCTAGGTTTCATTGTGCCTTTATTTAATTCCTTCATTTTTAAATATGTTTCCACTTGAATTAATTTTAAAATTTCAATAACATTAGTGATTGGAGGATGAGGTGAATAAAATTGCGAATTAAAATGTTTGTGGAAAGACTCGGCACAATTTGTAGTTCGCGGTGCTTCAGAAGGTGGTTCAGCCCAAACTGATGGTGGAAATTTACACCAAATAATAATATAATTATGTAATATATAGTCTGAAAATTCTGATAAATATGGTTAATTAAAGTTGGGCGTTAGATTTTGAATATCAAAAGTAGCATCTTCGACTTCGTTTGACGGTAAAAATGGCAATCCGAAAAACATTGTTAACCATTTGGCTACGTCGGAAGACTTTTTTAGATCCGGAATAGAATTTATCTTCCGATACCAAGATTGACCCAAGTGAAATCTAAAGGCTTTTATGGTACTATTGTTAAATACGTTTCTGAAAGCTTGGTGAGCGGCAATTTCAAAATCCAGATGAATTGATATTGGATTAAACGGATGTTGAATTTCATTCATACATAATTACGACTAAAATTCCACATTGCTAGGTAACAATCAAATGATTTTGATGGCAAAAATGCAATAACTAGAGGTATATAAAATCCATTTTTGTAACCATGTATATCGTACATATGATAAAAATAAGAAGGTCTATAAGTAAATGTACCTACCATCAACAAATATTTATGTACCTATTATAATTGCACAAAAAATTTAAATTAAATTTGCACGTTATCAATATAATGTTGTTTATCCGATCAATAAATTTAAATTGTTCGTTTTTATTTGTTAAGACTGGTAAATCGGAAATTTGTGCAATTGCCTCATTAAGTGATTTAGGAATGGCAGGCAGCACTTTTCGTCGTTCACGATATATTGATTTTCTAATACTATTAATATCAGCAAAATTGGATGTAGAACATGAAGATAGCTCCATACGTATTATTTTATTTGGCTGTATATTTAAATCCTCACATGATTTTCTTTTGCACTTACCTCTAACTTCCAGCAAGTTTAATTCTTCAATAGGATTCGGTTCATGCTTATGGATGTCTTTAATATCTGTTAGTGTTGATTTTTAAAAATTTGTTTTTACATACGCACTACAATTTTTTTTAACGCAACGCCAACTTATATCTCCCGAAACCAAATTTCTACTAAAGTGGAATTTAAAGTTACAAAAAATTAAGCATTCACGGGTTTTAGTAGTATTTATTATTTTAAAATCTATTTTTATACACACGAAACTCACAACGTTGCACAACACAAGCACAGAGAGAAGTGATGATGACAGTCGTCATGAAGTGCAATTAAGATAAAATGGATCGATATTCGATAATATCGATAAGAGTGTAACGTACAAATTAAAAATAGTTAAAACTGGTAAATAATATGTACAATAGTTATAAAGTAATACAATCTGGCAACGTTGAACGGTTTTAATGCATTTTTATTAAAAAATTTTCAGGCGCAAATGGGATATGATTTCGGGCGCAAATAGGTTATAAAAAAGGTGTGATGGATGCAAATGGGTTGCACCGCTTTAAAGAAACAGTTACCGGTTACCAAAATATCAAAATTAAACGATAACCGGTTACCAGTTTTATTGAGAACGGTTTTAAGCCATGATTTTTACAAAGAAATATGCAATGTGGGAATCATTTAAAAAAATTAAATTAGAAATTGAACATTTAAACACGTGTTGGTTGTATAGGTACCTAAGTTCCCCGTCAGCCGAAAGAATTCTTTTAACAACGAGAAGAATCAATACAATATGTTTAATGACATTGATAACAATTGAAAGTTCCCCTCTCCTCAATATAAAACATTAACTTACACCACTACTTATGCGAGATAGCGTATGATCATATTAAGAACTTGACAAATACTAAGTAATTTATATAATTATGTTAAATTTGTATACCTTTTGAATAGTCAAATCACACATAGTATTTGAATCATTGGGATCGGACGAAGGGTTCAATCTAAACCTAAAATATGTTTTTTCTTTTGGAAAAGATGCCTCCGGTAAGATACATTTTAGTTTTTCCTAGAAAAATAGAAGTGATTATATGATCCAACTCATCCGCACTTAGTAGATAATAATGTTTCAATACCAATGTATAATTTGTACTTTTTGAAGTCATTGGAGTTGTTCCAGAACCATACAAATCGTTTTCACAAGTGCAGTCATTCATGTACATTACATTAATAACGAAGAAATCCGTTACAGGATCTATCACCTTGATATCCAGCCCTTTTTCAAATATTTAAAACAAAAATTATATATTTAATATATATTTGAGTCATGAAACCAATATTTGTATACAAAACATTATATCATATTATTATGGACTTCACTTTTTGTCATTAGACGCATGAGAATGGACTATGGCTATTTGTTCATGACAGTTGAAAATTGACATTTAAAAATGTCTTAAGAAAATAGTTGTATTACCATCAAAATAATCTGTATTTTTTGTATGTTTACAGCTATTTTTTAATGAATTATGTTAGTCATTATTTTTCTAGGGTTAGAATATTTAATTATAATATTTAACGACAAAAGATTTATGCTATACACATAGTATAATATATAGTATATTATCTATTTATGACTTAAGCTTATACACACATAACTCTGTATTTTTATAAATAATATTAATTTACATAGATACTCACAAGGTAACCACGGAGCTGTAAACTGATCTATTAGAAATCTTCCTGATACTTCTATACCAACTTCCAATTCAGGGAAAGACGTTTTCATCACCTCAATATATTTTTTTAAATTTTCAGAAAATCCCGGAAATTCTATGGAATATTTTTTCTAACCAAAGAAAAGTGTTAAAATAAATATTAGTTTTATTTTTTTTATGGAATATTATACATTTTTATAACGGAAAAGAGTTCTGTTCTCGGTAATTAAATTATAAATATATAGTATAATATGAAAAAAATAAAACAAAAAAATTACAAATTTTAATTTATAAGTAAGTACTTATCCATTCACAATGTTAAGTGTATAATAAATAATATTATAAATTATAATATTTGTTACTAAATGAGTTAAACCATAAATGTTAAACTATATTAAAATTTATAAGTTATTACCCATTATGATATAAAATTAATATTGAATAATGATTAAGACATAATAGTGTAGGTACACTGAAATTAAGTTTATAATACGTTTGAATAAAATAATTGAAAAATTTTATATACTTTCCTTATATTTTTTTATAATATTTTTACATGAAATTCTATCAAAGTTTGATTTAATATTAAACAGTTCATTTTATTCATGCTATGACGATTCTGCGTGAATTGTAAAATTAACTTTGATTGTAGGTATAACAGAAAATAATTAAAATGTAACTATATAATATTTATTTAGATACCCTACATATTTGAATACCCTACAGGTAAAATTTGAACAGATGCTTTTATTAATTCAAAAATTTAAATTAAATATATTGTTACGTCATTCTCGAACGTTGTTAGGATAAGACCAGTAATCCCTGGATGTTCGTCCAAAAAAGCCTTTAAGCCTTTCATTTCATCTAATGAGTTGATTCCTCCATTACAAGCTTCGCAAGCAAGCACTTGAGTCCATTCTGATTGACTAATGTGGCCGTAATATACATATGTAGGCCTCTTAGAATTCAATGTTGTGTCTAAATTTTCTATATAAATTACAAAATACATAAATACATGATAATATATTAAAATCTTTAATATTAAGTAGATAATATAGTTTTGTTATTCTATTATCTAGACTCTAAATTATACTTGAGTGACTTTATTTAGTGACTATACATCAACTGGTTCAAGATTTTATTAACCATTAAGCAATATAATATTATAATCACGTTTCTACTTAGATCAACAAAAAAGGTGGCATCAAATCAATTTTGGAATGAACTAAATTAAATAAGTTTTTTAAATCTACAATATTTTATTATTTTATGGTGTATGGACTGTGCCTCACCATAACTGCTTAGATTGCTTAGGCCATTACCTATGATGGAATTATTTGAAAAGGTGGCATAAAATCGAATCTTAATCCGGAAATTTCTATCTAGTTTGCACACGGATCAGTGATTTATTTACTGCGAATGCGCTAACGTGTACGCGTACCCGCGGGTGAAGGACTATGAACTCTGTTGGAACGCGTTTCGGACAGTGCATGATTAAAATGCTTCTGACTCCAAGTTCCCCAAAGTCACTTTGACTGCTATAGGAACGTATTCCATAACTGGTATAATATATTACGTATTGTAACAACCGACCGTCCGAGTCCAACCATTTCAGTTTGTATTTCGCTTAACACTTCTGCTCTTGATCCCGTTAGCCGTTCGTTCAGTGGGTAAGAGGACGCTACACCCGAATGTCTAAGTCTTACGAATGTACAACATAGAAAAAACTGTTTTGACCCAAAAGGCTTTAGTCATAACTAAGAAACGAGATTATCAACATCATAAAAAGGAGAACTTTCCCACGCATAGCAAACTTTTTGCTATGTTGTACATTTGTAAGACGGAGACAACACATGCGGGTCCTCGTAAAAGTTTCACCACTTATTGAAACAAATTTATTAGTTCCACCGTTTTCGACTATATTTTTTAGCCAAACTATAATATTTTTTCACAGAATATGGATATGCTTCGACGATGGTATTATATTTATTATTGCAACATTGTTATTGACAGTAAATTACTTGTCAAAAATATTTTATTAATAGTATTGTTATACGACTATTGGTAATTGTTATAATTCATAAGTACTCTACTAATGTAAACATAGGTCTGGTCTGAGCATGACTACACGAGGTACCACGATATACACCAATGTACATTGATGTACAAAATAATACAATTCTTGATTTTCCCAATGTCGATATTATGTTCCTTCCGAATCGTTTTCACTTAAATAGAAAGTGTACCACTGATCTCTGCTTTTCACAGTCGAACAACGATGGAACAGAACTCTATTATTTGTACTGAAGCCGATATTCTGCGTACAATACATTTCGAAGAGATTATAAAAGACTGCAGTTAAAAACGGTGAATAAAAAATGTCCCATCTAAATTAAATAAAAACTTGAATTGCAATTAATTCAATTTTTTGTATTTTCAAATGTTTATTTATCGGAATACATCATTTTTAAATCAGTAGGTACATTACGTTCTTATATTATTGTTATTTCATTACTGAAATTTCATTATTGTTATTTTCATTACATAATAAAGGCAACCACATTTTTTAGTACTCCTGAAAATCCAGTCTCATAGGGCATTTAATCTTGTTTGAAACAGAATTGTTACAATATTGAGTTTTTTTGTTTTCCAATCACATCGACTCGACTTTATAACTGAAGGTCCCGGTGCAATAACCAGATAATATGTCCAAATTTTTTCAAAAATCATATCGATCGGTGCAATAAATAGTGTTGAAATAAAAAAATAAAAACTAATTTTTAAATATTTATTATGTGCAATAAATTAAGATATATATTCGGACGTATCTGTTAAGCAGATTATTATATATCCATTGTTTTCATTGGGTGCATGAACCAAATACGTTCGGACATAACTGGTTTTTGCTCCCAATACTTCTATTCAAATTTTAATATTGTCATGAACATAATATTTAAACCATTTGGTATAGGTTTAATATATGTACCTATCTCCTTCTTACAAAAAGAATAACATCACGGTTTTAATTTTTGGTTCATTTTGGTTCAGTTTTTTATGTTTCCTGGACAATTTTAAAAAATGGAAGATTTTGGGTTTTTCACCAGTGCCTTCATATTATTTACATGCAAGTATACAACTACAGATTAATTAATATATGAAAATAATTTAATATAATCTTTGACCCTACATTGTCTAATTTTCGTACAATCAGCCCCCAAAATGTAAGTTTTGTTATATATTGCTTATACATTTTAAACATCGTAACTATTTGACTTTACATACCATATTAAATATATATGTTAATTTTAGTAATATTACCTATAACTTTTTTATCATCTGTGCACGTGCAAGGATCACCAAAGACATGATAGTTTAAATCCACGAAAACCCCATCGTAAACTATAGACGTGCAAGCCTCTGGTAGGCCTGAAGGTTCAATATCCGGTAAACAGCATTTCGTATTCATAAAACCAAGATGATTGCAGCCTGCTATTCCAGGGCCTGAAAAATAAACACATATTTCATACTACTTTTTCGTATATAAAATGATACATTTAAAAAATATATATATATAAATATAAAGAACTACATCAGCAGACAACACAAGTAATTACAACTGGTTGTAAACAATTTAATTCGTTTCATTTTCTCAGTCAGTCTATTCTAGAATCGGGTAGGAGGACTCTCAAAAGTGCATTACTTGCTTAAAAAATACTTTTATCCTACATATAATGAAAATAGTAGGTTATGTTCATGATTTTGATACCTACAACACAAACAGAATTTTAACTATACAAACACATTAAACGATAAAATAAATATAAGACACTTAAAAAAAGTAGCTGTTGTTACCCGAATTTGTCAGGTAACAAATGAAAAAATATAAAATTGAACGCTCGGTGAACTTTGGTTTGAATGTAGGACATCAGTTTACGGATAAATCGGGAATGGCTTATCTTACCTAAAATTTTTGGATGCACTCGATTTCAAAAAAATTAATCTTCGAACTGCACTCGATCCGATCAATGACTTTATTTCAAGGCTTAGCAAATTTAGAAAAAAAACATAAAACCTAAGTACCTCAGAGTACCTAATTACGATTTTTGATATTAAGTTATTTATTTATTATCTGTATTTTTTTTTAGTTACTGCACATAAATATTGTATGTGGAATTATAATTCGTTGCTTTGTATTAAAATAAGTTTGGAAATCTGGGATTTATCATGCTAGCAAAATGAACTTTCCAAAATAATTTTTCTATGAATGTCAATAAAAAAGTTTTAACATTTAATACGAGATTCCTCATCACTTGTTTTTATTGATAACCACCTGTACCCCCACGGTTAGGTTAGGTTAGTGGGTCGTAAGTGGGTCGTAACAAACTTTGATTGTATCATATTATACATTTCATTAATCAAGTTATATCAATAAATTATGCACATATTAACCTTCCTCTGTTAAATATCTACCTAACAGTGTTAACTATTATCTCGAAATAAATTCAGCTGTTTCGGAGTTTATCCCGAACAAAAAAAAAGCTATTTTATTTTATGCTATATATCCTACCTTTTTTGGATATTTAGTATTGACTGATTGATATTAAAAAATATTTAAAACAAATAGTTACGATTATGTTCTATAAGTGTTTGAAGTTGCAGTTTGACGACAAAATTCATCAAAATTACAAAAATTTTAAAATAATTTATTTGTTAAATATCTATGGAATATTCAATTTTTATAGCTAAGGATTAAAAGTTAAATTCAAGGAAAGTATGTTTTTTTTACATATTTTATGTTAACATTTAGACGAAATAATTTTTACTATTTTAATTAATTTGTTGTAATTTAAAAATGTTATTCGTGGGCACCTACTTGAATCGTTTAACGTACCTATATTATTTTATATTTTATACACATAATGAAACTGTAATGTTTTCAAAAAAATGTATTCAACTTACCGTATTACTGAAACAAAAATATTAATTACTTTAAGAACAATACATATATTTATATAATAAAATATACATGTTGGTGGTTTGTATAATATAGGTACATTTAATTATTTGGTGTATACCTATTACCTACGTTAGTACTTTCTAGGTCCTAAATTTACTATTTATTTTATGTTGAATGTAATAAAATAACAACATGAGCAAATCAGTTGAAGTTTTTAATAGTGGGAGCTAGGTATCACAATAATTAAGGCAGCACAATTTTTTTTCATCGTCAGGCTACTTTTTCTTCATCTTAGTAATTATATATATTTTATGTTATTACGAATGGATTGAAGGGTTAACAATTTAATATATAAAATAATTAAAAAAATTGAAAGGTTGGAAAAAGATTTTGCTATACATACCAATAATATACATCCATAAATAATAAATATAAACATTACTACGTCCTGTGGGCTGCCACACATATTGTATGTTATAGGCTCATTACTTTTTTTCAAATTATTTATGATTTGTTAACAAATAATTTGAGAATGTTATATATATGTAGCGTATAAATAATTATTTAAAACACATAGTCACTGTTATTTTTTATAACTAAGCATTTGAAGTCAAATTTTGACTATAATCGAAAATTCAGGAGAATTTATACAAATTATTATGTAGTTATGAATTAGTGACTTTTTCTTTTAACAACTATGACTTACAATTGTAATGCAAGATCTCTATCATAACATGTTCTTAATAGAAATTTAAATTTTATAAGCGTAAAATAGTATATAAATATAATAAGTATACAATTTTATTATAAACGATGCAAGTTCAAAATAATATATAATATTGTTGTATTAAGTTATACAACGAAGGTATGAACGTAATAATTATGTATAATATCTTTAAACTATTTCTGTTATTTGGTTATAAGTCAAAATATATTTACTGTAGAAACTTTAAACATTCCACTGTATGTTTAGGTAGTAGATACCTACTGCAATTATCATTTCATATACACAATGATGTATTAAAATACATTTTAAAAATAATCAGTAAATCAGTCAAAAAGCTAAAAAATGTAGTACAAGATGCCACATAACATGTGGTTGCTCCGGAAATTATAAACAATTATATATAAATATTTACAAAGTATAAAGGGTAGGTAAAAAGTATTAAGTAAAACCGATAAAACTTACGAAATCTTACATACCTAAAGATAATATATTTGTGTATAGCATACCATACTTCCAAAAATGTTAAACACGTTTGTAGACATTTAATTAATGTTTTTCTTGAATACTATATTTAAACAGAAAGCTCACCTTTTGCAGCTTGTGATTGTGATTGTGTTGTTAAGATAAGAATGTTACTAATTAACAGTAAAGAATTGTAAAAGTACATTTTTATTAATTGTGAATAATATTATGCAGATTTAAAACTTTATTCGCTCATACCGGCATGAGTTAAAATTAACCTAATCCATACAAAAGCTGTTTATAAATTATAATAAATTAATTTGTATCATTTATTCTGCTAGTAATGTGTTTTTAATAAATTAGTATACATTTTATTGATTATATAATATTTACATTAAAGTTATTTGCACAAAATATATCAGTTTACAGATAAATCGGGAATGGCTTATCTTAACTAAAATTTTTGGATGCACTCGATTTCAAAAAAATTAATAATCGAAAAATTAAAATTCGAACTGCACTCTATCCGATCAATGACTTTATTTCAAGGCTTAACAAATTTAGAAAAGAACATAAGAACCTAAATATATATTTCTATATTATTATTTTAAAATCATAACTTTATAGTGCCTATTTAAATAATTGTAAATATTTATTAAGTTAAAAAAAACAATTCAATTTAGCTTCTGAATGTATTTATTTCATATTTATATCATAAAATATACATGTTTTTGGTTTATATAATATAAGTTAGGTTAGGTTTGTATAATATAGGTACATTAAAATATTTGGTGTATACCTACGGTTAGTACTTTCTAGGTCCTAAATTTACTATTTATTTTAGGTTGAATGTAATAAAATAACAACATGAGCAAATCAGTTTAGGTTTTTTATAGTGGTAGCTAGATATCACAATAATTAAGGCAGCACAATTTTTTTTTATAACATTACCTATTTCCATTTTTTCAATGGGCTAACCTATTACAGTCACATGGGCTGCAATCTTGCTGCGCTGTATTTGTGTATACCTACGTTAGTACGTTCTACGTTTTAAATTTACTATTGATGTTTAATGTGATAATATAACAACATGAGCAAATCAGTAGAGGTTTTTAATAGGGGCAAGTGGTTATCACAATAATTAATTCAGAACAATTTTTTTTCATCGTCAGGCTACTTTTTCTTCATCTTAGTAATTATATATGTTTTATGAAAGTACGAATGGGTTGAAGGTATAACAATTCAATATATAAAATAATCAAAAAAATTGAAAGGTTGGAAATAGATTTTACTATGCATACCAATAATATACATCCATAAATAATAAATATAAACATTACTACGTCATGTCGGCTGTCCCACATATAAATAATATATTGTACATTATAGGCACATTACTTTTTAAAGAACACTTTTAGTTTTTTTTTTTCGAATTATTTATTTTTTGCGAACAAATAATTTGAGAATATTATACATAGGTAGCAAATAAATAATTATTTAAAATACATAGTCACTGTTATTTTTTATAACTAAGCATTTGAAGTCAAATTTTGACTAAAATCGAAAATGCATGAGAATTTACAAATAATTTGTAGTTATAAATTCGTGACTATTTCTTTTAATAACTATGACTTACAATTGTAATGCTATATATCTCTATCATAAGATGTTCTTAATAGAAATTTAAAAATGTATAATAAAGTATTAGGTAAAATTGATAAAACTTATGAAATCTTACATATCTATAGATATTATATTTATATATAACATAACTAGGGCAGAGGACTTGTAGCTCTAAAAAATCACCAAATATGCACTCAAATATAAAATATATTATGCATTATAAATATGCATTTAAAAATGAATATTTTTTAACGAAAAACATAAAGTTTTCTGTAGGTACTTCTCTATTATTTTAATGAATAAATTGTATTTACAACTTTAACAACTTACAAGTTACAATAAATTATTTGAATAATTATTTGGTTTATTTGATGTTTTCTCATCTGGATACTTCTTCAAAACTTTCAACTTTCTACTTCTTCAACTACTATAAAACAATTGACAAAATATTTTTGTTTGAAATATTTAAGATTAACACACATTTTTACATTGGAAGTTATATAATTGAACAATAAGATGTTTTTTCAAATTTTCAAATTGAAAACTTTTTCGATTGTCAGCTAACAGCACTTTGAACATTGAAAAAAAAACGTTCAACATCAACAGAATTTATAGGACCATATTTAATATATTCTAAATCACCAAGATTTCAAGATTTCAGGTATTCTGACTATAATTGAAGTTTCTTCACCAGATAAAATTCTTGACATTTAAGCCAATATTTGTTAACTAAATAATACTTCTCAAAAATATTCATGTTCTCTTGAATAATTTACCCACTGTACCGGGTACTTGATTTAATTTTAAAAAACGTCTTCAATTATTTTTATGGTGGTTTATATTTATTGATGTTCGCAATATTAACATGCGGCTTTTACCCACGATCCCTCCTACCTTGTATTTATAGGTTCCGGAGAAAGTGAAAGATCACATAATTATCAAAATTTTAAATAATTTTAAATTCAACGTTATTTTGGTTGTAAAAATAAATAAATAAAAACGTCGACTAAAAATATTGATAAAATGATAAATTATTTAAAATATGCATCTAAAAGTATAAAATGAAAGAATTATGCCCTAAAAACCAAAAAATTGCAAAATATGCATTTATATGCACAATAGATTTTTAAAACTAGCTTTGTGGAAGCATGGAACGTATTTGTTTCGCACTCTGCTATTTTTGTGACTATGCAAAAAAAATATGCAAATGCTACAAGTCATCTACCCTAAACATAACATACTTACAAAAACGTTAAATACGTTTGTAGACATTTAATTAATGTTTTTCTTAAATACTATATTTAAACAGAAAGCTCACCTTTTGCAGCTTGTGATTGTGTTTGTGTTATTAAGATAAGAATGTTGCTAATTAAAAGTAAAGAATTGTAAAAGTACATTTTTAATAATTGTGTATAATATTATGCAGATTTAAAACTTTATTCGCTCATACCGTCAGAGTTATTAATTATTATTATGTAAGTACCTAATCCGTACAAAAGCTGTTTATAAATTATAATAAATTAATTTGTGCCATTTATTCTTTCTAGTTATGTGTTTTTAATAGATTATATAATATTTAGCATATTTTTATACAATTGCACACATAACCACATGTTGCATGTTCAAACATTTTTGTATTTCAATTTAATTCTGACAGTTTATGAGCTTTATAGTTAGTAATTATAACTATAGAGAGAATATTTATCACTCAAAAATAGTTAAAACCTAAAATACACTATATAATTATTTTTTTCAACTACAAATAGATATACTAATATAGTAATATATTAGGTTTTGTTTTATAAGTTATTACCCACCTCGCTGTGTCCACAATCTACTGCAGGTAAACTGTTCGCATAACCATAAGCGAGTCTCACCAGCAACGCCAAGCGGGATCTCTAAAACTTAAAATAAAATATGATTTTGCTTCCATACGCACAGCATATTATACCCAAAAGGAGTTATTTATTAACATTTTTTTCCTGGGAAACGCCAGATTATTCAACTACTAGTTTCATTAGGAGTAGGTATACCTACTTACAACATTTTACTTAAATGAACATTTTTTTTTTTAGTTTTCACTTTTCATTTAAAATTCTATCAATAGAAGTGTAGAAAACAAATCATAATTGTATATCATCTAGTAATTAATAACTATAGAGAAAATATATATGACTCAAAAAACAGCTAAAGCCTAAAATTTTCAGTAAAACTATGAAGCACTATAAACAAATCTAATTTACCTAACATATAACTATGTAAGTTGATAGATTGCACCTCAACTTTTATTACCTATTATACAATAATATAAATGTAGATAAAAATGTAGTTTTTATACGTAAATACAATTTCCCTATACCTAGTGGTATATACAAATTTGAGATAAAATAAAAAGTTTATAAGAATGGGCTATGTCAGTATCCAAATTAATTTTCATTTAAAGTCCGAACTTAAAATATTTTACAAAATTGACAAAATATAATATATTATCTATTGAAGTTTATATGTTCAAAACAAAAGTGGAAGTAGGTAACCGCTCTACTATTATAGTATACTTGTCATTATGTAGGTCACTGGATATGGTATGTTTATGGGAGCCTATAAAAATAACCTAACCTTTTATTTATTTGGTACCTACATAATATAATATCTATTCAATATAATTAATAGGTAATGGCTACAAACTGCACACGTCTTTACTTAATCAAATTTTTACAACATTGGATATTCACTCAATTTCTCATATAGCGATTTTCTTATTTTGTTGTAATTAAAAAACGAATGACTGTAGATACTTTAAAATTTCACTGAATGATTATATTAGCATTTTCTATACACCATACAATTTTTAAAACAATTTGACTCTTTTTGAGTTGTTTATGAACCTTGCCAGTTTTCAATTTTTTTAGTTTTTTTTTTCTATAAATACCAATAAAATTTTTTTTTTGGGTGAAAAAACTTGAAAATTTAATACAAGGCTCCTGATATATTTTTACAATAGCATTTTTAAGATATTAAAAATACATAGGCACACATTTTTTTTATAAGCATTTTAAGTTCGAATTTTGACAAAATTTATCAAAATCTCGAAAATTATCAATCGCTGTAATTAAAAAATTATAAAATGTCCAGTTTTTATAACTAATAATTGAAAATTTAAAACTTAGATTCTCATAAATAGTTCATACTGTAACCAAAAAATCTAAAAAATACATACGCACAGTTATTTTTTACAGACATTTTAAATTCTAATTTGGACGAAATGACATATTAAAATTAGTGTTAACGATTTTGGTTATTTTGTTGTAATTTAAAAATATTATTCGTTGATATAATATGAAACTGAAGAATCAAAATATGGCCTATCCGTACAATCTATAGTTTAATATTACGATTACCCCAGGATATTCTGTGTTATTACTTTCTGTCGTCGAGCGATAAGCTTTTATCCGAAAAATGAAAAGAGTGTTTATTATTTTGTGATTATACAGCAGTGACCAACTACTTGTGGTGGAGTTGTTGCATAGGAAAAAATCTCTATCGCCAATATTTATGCCAATAGGATGTATTGGCGATTGAGAGTGATAAGATATGACGGGGACGCTGTGTATCATTTATAATAGATATGTTATTTTATTGTAGTTCCCCGTTACAGATCCACCCCCCGCCGGGCGCCGGCCTGATAATTGGTAAGCTTTCAATGTAACAAAACAGAAGCGATACTCGAATACTCGAGCAGGCTGCTTAGTTCATGGTCCTGGTTTACCTGTGATCTGCAGTACGACCCGTTGAAAAACATGGAAACGAGTCCGCGTTCTCATACCACGTAGGTACGTCTGTGGTTAATAGTTTTATACGTTTGTTTACTCGAGTTACGTAAACGTTACGTAAAATGTCAATAAAGTTTTATCTGTAGGGCCAAAACGTGTAAAAAATTAATACAAGGCTCCTGATATATTGTTACAATAGCAATTGAAAAATATTAAAAATACATAGGCACAATTTTTTTATAAGCATTTAAAGATCGCATTTTGACAAAATTTATAAAAATCTCGAAAATTATTAATCATCGTAATTAATTAATTATAAAATGTTCAGTTTTTATAGCTAAGGATTGAAAATTTAAAAAAAAGATTCTCATAAATAGTTCATACTGTAGCCAAAAAATCTAAAAAATATATGAGCACAGTTATTTTTTACAGTCATTTTAAGTTCAAATTTGGATGAAATTACATAAAAAAAAACGGGGAAAAAAAGATAAGTAGTAGGTTAGTAGGTACCACCACTTCGTCGGTTTTAAAAGGTAAACTTTCCCGAGTCTTATGACTAGTAAACTCTTCCTGTATCCAGTAGGTAGGCCTACCCAGATTTTTTATCTACCCTACGAGTTTGTTGTCATGAATAAAAGAACATTTGAATTTTTACTTTGAAAATATATTATAATCATTAATTTGACAATACGTATATAGGTATTTAGGTTCTATAAGTTATGAATAGGTATATTAATATTAATTAATAGTTATATTTGTATTTTGTAAAACTCTCTTGTACCTATTCAGATAAGTAAAAGTTGTATCTTTTAAATCTATCTACTTATTTTTTAGTTTAATTTGTCTTAAGTTATTAATTATTGATAAAAATAATCATTGACAACTTTGAAATTATGGAAGGCTAATACAAAAATTGGGAAAAGTCCCCTTTTCCGTCGGCGAGTAAAAGGTATATGGTGGGTCTAGTGCCTACCCAAACAAAAATTTCTAGCTACGCTCCTGCTTCCGGATCAATATTATGTAATATGTTTACCTGATATAAATGTGTAAACTCTCCCTAGTTAACATTGCGTTTTAATTATGTTATGTACATTATGTGTTTTGATTTAAAGTTTTCGCTCATTATCAAGACAAAACAAATCAGCTGGATTTAAAAACACTTAAACACTAATAATTTCACAACATTTACAATCGACACAGATTGAGCATTTGACAGAATAACAAAACTATTACTATGCCTACAATGCAGGGAAGTTCATTTTTAAAATTAAAGAAAGATAAGTAAAGATTAGGTGCAATAAATTTTTAATTTACAATTTTCCAATTTAAGTAATAATCTTAAATCTATAAGACTAATAATATAATATTGTTCGATCCCTAATACTGAAATATAATTTAAGATTAGGTGACCCGACTTAATTAAGTCACCTACAAACAAAAATAATTATTGAATTCGGGACTTCTCTTTGAGGATTCACATCTTATATTACATAAATAATTAAATAATATTATATTAAATGTACAAAATGTACCTATAGGTATTTGACGGACATTCTGTCAAATATACTCTGACGTATCATGTCCCCAGTGGCCCAGTCCCTACGATGTAGACGTACCTATTCATAGTTTATGCTTTTTTTTTTAATTTAATTAAAATTGTCTACAGCAGAAATTCCGAAACCTCACATAATTTCAGTACCCCAAATATTTTTTAACAATATTATCTACCACGATATTTTGTCAACAGTCGTTTTTAAAATGTAAAAATTCCACGTATTTGCGTATTGATTATATTGCTACTGGCTTTGTGTTTACGACAAAAATGTAAAATATAACCATATTATATTATTCATATCGCATATTATTAAAGTAATAACGATAAGAAATAATAAATTCGACGATAGGTATAATATTTTGTTTTGTCGTCTAGACATCACGTCGTGATAGTGGGTAACGATTTTATCATCTTAACGTATCACGAAACACTCGACGCGGCTGTAATTTCTCACACAACTGCACTGCCGTCGTCGACCGCGGTCGAACACGATAAAATATTATTAGCTCGGACCAGGAATTGGAATCGTATTGAACGCAAAATTGCCGAGTGTGTGTGTGTGTGAGTGATATTACATTTTTTTTGTAGCCGCCATAGTTGTTGTTGTAGTAGTAGTAGTAGTGGTAGTAGTAGTGTAGTACTTTAGTCGTAGTCGTTGTTGTCGACGTCACTGTCGCGATTCGTCTGTAGTTCCGTCGAGCAGTCCCGCGAACGCTCGGAATATCAATACAATAACGACAGATACGACAACCATAACTGAACAACAACAACCATCTCACACTATTATTATACCACATTAATTAATTATAAGACATTAATATAATATTAACAACTATAATGTCCTGTTGATTACCGCCGTCCAACCATCGGAACAGACGCGTCGACGACACCAGCACCGTGTACGGGGACGGAATCCTGTTCTAGTGGCGACGTATGTTTGTACGACGCGTTAAACAAACGATAAAAGCGTACGACGGAAAAAAGGTGTCGCCTATCTGTATGGTTATTGATTCGGCCATAACGTTTGTTCACGTTACCGAACAGTAATTAGTAGGTACCCATACACAGACCAAAACCGTTGTCTCTAAGGTAAATTTTAAAACAAAATATAACAGCTAAATGCCAAATAGTAAAACTTATACATATAAATATATAATATTACATATTATTTATAAAAAAAAAGGCCTGAAAGTTGTAATGGAAAAAATTCTTATTATTAATAACATACAATTATTACAACTAAAATATTATACCTACCTATTGCTCTATTGTTTTGATATTATTTATTTCTCTATATAATTTATTTGATCAACTAACAGGTGTGATCATAAAATAATTATTTTAGATTAAACATCATAATACTAAGTACTTACACAGGTAGTTTGTAAAATATAATATAGTATAATGATAGGGTACATAAAAAAAAAACCTATAAGATTATTGTTTTTTTTTTCAATGATAACCAAAAAAAAACTGAAAACTTTGTGGATTTGAGTGTAAGTACAAAAAAATTTATACAATTGGTATACACATTTTGTATTGGTGTTATTCTATAAATGATCCAAAATAAACCATAATTAAATAAATAAATATTTTGAATACTTTTCATATAACTAATATAAATGCTTAATTACATAACTACTTAATTTAAATGATTGAGTTTACAATATATTTATAATTTTCTCCTACTCATTATTATTATTGAAATTTACGTTAGAAGGCTTAGTGAAGAGCAACATTGCTTTGAACGTCTGTAGTATAGATTTAGCAGCTTCTTCTGCCGCCACATCAGTAGTGGCTCCATATCCAGTCGTAACAGTGATTGGTAGAGAAGTGACTTGTACCAATACAGCATGCTCTTCATCTTGGCCGGTATTGTTTTCAATATCTGTCAAAATGTATTTTAATTTTTTTAATTCCTAAATTAAATATACTTAAAACATACCTTTTTCTTTTTGAATTCCCAAACATACATAAATTGCTTGGAAACCTATTTCCTTGCATAAAATTTCTAATTTATTAACAGCACTTGCATTCGGATCATAATGTTCAATATAGTGTTCCAGTTCCGCTGCAGATCGCCCTAGCTGTTGATCTTCTTGCGTTGGATTATCCTTATTCTAACAATTTTATAATTTACTATACACATTACACATTCAAATTAATTTTAATATTTTTGTTTTGTTGTATGTACCTCAACTAAAGACATTGGTGTTATATCATTCATTGCCGTTCTAGATGCAGTTGTTTCTGTAAAATATGAACGGAAATAATATGCTGAAACCCATTTATTTAATTGTTTTTGATATTCCTCATCATGTATTAAAGATATGCATTTATTTTGTTCACAATCCTTAAAATTACATTAATTATAAATTTCATTAGTTTTTGATTTAAATTAGATACCAAATATGTAAATACATTTAAATCATGTTACCTCAGTTGATAACAGTGTTATTGGGTATGAAGATTTTGATTCATTTAATTGTTCTATGCCAACGTCAAAAATCTTTTCGTACATCAGACGTGCAGCCTTACGCTTAGCTCCTTTCTTGAAACTATCAGTTCCTAAAAATATATGTACTTAAAAAATGCACAAACGAAACATACTAATTTAACTCAAATGATTATTAAGTACCCATTGTTTGTAAATGAAAAACTTCACAAGTAACTTGGTATAATACTCTACATTCACTTTGATCTTTCCTTGATATCTCAAAACTGTAGAATGGAGGTGTCCATTTATAAGTTGTGCACAACTCTTGCAAGGCTCCAATAGGATTCATATCACAATGTGCAATTTGTACTGCGTCATATTTAAATTGTTGCCTAAAAAATGTATGTATAAAATATGAAGAAAATAATTAATTTTTTTAATAGGTATTTAATTTATCTTACAATCCTTCATCATTCACATCTGAGTTAGTTTCATCTATAGTTTGTGATCCTTCAGTACTACTTAAAAATGTATCATTTTCACTAACTTCAGAGTTAGTGGTGGTAGTAGACGATATGAATTTATCACTGTCATTCACAGAGTCAATTTTTAAATTAAAAAGTTTTTCACACATCTGGGCAGCAGCATTTTGTTTTGCTTCCTTTTTAGATTTCCCCTCTCCTAAAGCTTACTCAAAAAAACAATAATATATATTTATTTAAATTAGATAAAATCTATAATATTAGAATACCTTTCATATTGTGTATTTGACACATGTATGTAAATATTGGCTTATGTGCATGTCCAGTAATAGCCACACACACATACGATACTTTAAATGGTTTTTTTTCTCCACCACGCATGGCCCATTCATTTAATAAAGATATAGCTGTTTTATTTGTTTGTATTTCATCAGTTAATGTTTTAGCCTCATGTTCACTATTATCAATGTTAGTATTTTCCAAATTGTACATATTATTTTTTATATGGTCCTCATTTTCAGACATATCACATTTTGGTGATGATTGTTCTGATTGTAAATGGTCATCACAGATATTATTTTTATTTATATAGAATTGATCATTAACATGGTGTCTATATTTGTAGCCTTTAACTGATAATGATGGTTTATTTTGATGATATTGCTGAAGTGGCAATTGCGTGTCAGATTTTATTATCTATAAATATAACAAATTTATGTTTATAATAATTTACAAAACAATAATATATAATTAGTTGTACTTAGTGTTTAAACTGACATGCTTCAAAAACCCTAAGTATTTTTTTTTATAAAATATCAAACATAAATAAAGAAAGAAACGTAAAAACTAAATATATAAAATTACTAATATTTATTTTTTGTTATATATAAAATATTTTAAACAAAATGTACAACTCTGGTGATGATATCAAATGCTTGATACATTTTATATTAGGTAAAAGAAATGTCTGTTCAAATCTATTCATCCAGATACAAAATACAATATAATTTCATTTTTAAACACTTTTATAAATTATAATACTAAAGTAAAATATTTATGTTCATAAATTTCCCATTATAATAGGTTTTCTTCCTTTTTGAACCAATGGGCTGGCAATTATACTAATAGGAATGTATTAATGTATTTAATAATTTGTATGTTTCAATCTTGGTTTCTTGATAAATATTCGATACTTATTATCATAAATAAAGTTAATTATAGAAACATATTATCAAATAAATAGCATTTTATAATTATATAATAAGTTCAATTAGGTATTTACAGGATGATTCACCAAGCATGCTCACCCCTTTTTTCTTCAATAATGCAGTTACTCAAAATCTGATTTTTTTAATTTTTAAAATAAATTACTTGAAGACCAATTTTTCATATTTATAGTTTATAAATTTGGAGTTACAAACTTCTGTTTTTCAATGAAGGGGTGTTATTATTTGAAAAAAAATTGAACTTTCAATATTAAACTAATTAACTATAAATTATACACTAGAACTTTTTTCTGAAATTCTTGACGCATCAAAATCAAAATTTGTAAGAGTAATTTTTGTGTTATTTAACTTTGTGTTCTAAGGATAAAAGATCCATGGTAATGGTTTTATAAGTTATGGGGGCTATGGCAATTTGAAAATTATAGTAATTAATCTTTAGATATTAATAATTTGTAAAAATGGCCCAGGTATAATAAATACTATATCCAATTTTATGTCTATTTTATATTTATGTAAAACCATTTTTAACACGTTAAGTGCCATGCGGCCACTGGCGGTCACACGATTATGCATCATCTGAACGCCAAGTATATTTTTCATTGTCATTCCAAATTTGTATATTATACTATTTATTTGAAAAAAGTTAAAAAATTTAAAAATATATTTTTTACATCAAAACATTTGTAATGATTTGCGCTACACCACAGCGCTTTTTTGGTGCATTATTGTAGCTCCATGGAAAAGTTACTAATATAAAACCATATTCATTTACGGCAGCAGGTGGTCATGTGGCGTGGTAATAATGATCAATTGTGGCCGCCGGCGGTCGCAAAAGCATAAAATTTGAGATTTATAAATGACCGCCAGTTGCCGCATGGCACTTAACGTGTTAAGGACTATTATCCCTTATACAAAAATGTTAGCAACTAAGAAACTACTCTATTCAAATTTTGAATTAGGTACATCAACATTTTCAAAAAAATTATCCACTTAATAATTTACAGTAAAAAGGGAAGATTCTTATTTGAAAAAAGAAGTTTGTATCACCACAAGATACTTAAGCAGTACAAAAAAATTCATTAATTTTAAAATATGGTCTTTAAGTACCTATGATTAAAAATGTAGCATATTTATTCAGAATTTGAATAAATGTATTATTATAGAAAAAATGGGGGTTAGCAGTGAATTACTCAATCACCCTGTATATATATAGATTATAGGTATATTTGAGTTGGAAAAAAACAATCAAGGGATGCCTAATATACTGTACATTTTTCACCTGAATGCTCAGTTAATAATTTAAATGTAAGTTAAGAAAAATTAGTAGAAGTTCAGATATTTTTTTTTTATATAAAAAGAGACACTTTATCGCACTGTTTCCTCTACAAATGAAAACCGGGTAGGAATTCTATAAAATAACTAAGAGTCTTATAGTTGCCTAAAGTCAATACTTAATTTACTTAATATTCAAAATGCATTTATCTTAAATATTTAGAAATATACCGTTGTATTTACTTGATCCATTTCAATAGAATTTCGATTTTCATAATTGTGTATTCTTGATTTTCTCCATTTATTAGATGCTTTTAATTTCCTTTTGTTCTGGTCATTATAGCATTTTTTTACAATACGTTCAACAACTCCAGTGGCTGGGATTATGGTATCTATATAATTAAATATTGATAAAATTTATTATAGTTTAAAAACATTTTTGTATTAGAGGCAATTTTCAAATTTTCAAATTATAAAATTGTTTTTTTTTTTTCGTAAATAAAGGTTCAATCAAAAATTATCTAGTATAAACATAATATGTTTAAACCTGGATAACTTGGTGAGGTTTACAACTCTTATATATATATAATATTAGTTATCCAAAGATAATTTTGTTAAAAAATTGTTTAAGTAGGTATAATTTGTATTTAAAATCTTAAACTAAAATATTATAAGCATATTATAATGCAACTAAAAAAAAATATTTACACATTGCCACGAATAAAAATGTAAGTACCTTACTTTAGGTTGGTTATTTTGTTGTTATTAAAAAAAATTTAGAGAATTTAAATTGTTTACTAATTATTTTAATATGTATGAAATAGAAGTGCAATTTACTATAATTTACCTTTTTGGTGTTTAATATAGAATTATAAGAATTACATGGTATTCTTGTTCAGTTTTATTCTCTAATACCCAATTTGAAAATTTTACTTTTTACTTTTTTTACCTGAAGGTAATGGTAATCTATATTATATTATTATTTGTTTAACCAATTAGTTTTTTTATTATCTGTAGTACTACCTATAGTACAATGTTAAAAATAAATATTAAAATTCTATACATTTTATTTTTTTTATATTATACATATCATGATTTAAAATTGTTTTCATAATGATGTCAAAAAATGCCGTTTTCTTAAAAAGCTTTCTTAATGCCCCCCCGTAGGCTCTTCCCTACGTCACCTACGCCTTAAGCCGGCCCTGATTAGTTACTCTTAATATTATTACTATGAAATCTTAAAACTGTAATATTTTACAACATTATTTAGATAAAATAAATAAAATAGATAGATTATAATATATTTAAAACTACCAATTGTTACTAAAATCTGAAAAATTAATATAGGTAGGGACAAACTTAATATATTATTACAACAGCTATGATGATAAGAAATCTAGAAATTTTAAAATGTACGTTACCTAAGTATGTGATGTATTTTAATATAGAATCTTTAGCTTTGATATTTTAACATAATATTAGTCTTGCTTTACTACAATATTCAGCAGTCGTTGCAATTCTTTAATATTTTAAAATAAATTGTATTTCTTAGTAAAAATTTGAAGATAAAATAAAATATAAGTAAATAATTGCATGCAAAAACACGTCTTTACTTATATTTACTATACTTATTAGTTATTACTTATAAGTGTTTATTGTTTGTCTTCTACGTAGTTATACGAAATATTTAGTATAATCTAAATGTCTAATTAGGTACCTACCTTTATGTTTTATCATTCTGAATATTAATTCGATACTCATTCATCAATGACAGACATTATTATACTTTTGAACAGAAATTAAATCATACAAATCGCACTGTGCTACTACAAAGTACTGACACTTAATATTCTGATGGTGTAGACAATAAAATGATTCAATTTATTTCAGAACCGTACATAACAATTCTGCGTTTAATATTCGAGCGCGTGTTTCCTGTTAAACTATAACCTATCATATTAAAATATTAAATAAGAAATATCTCAATATCTAATATTACTCAAATGTATAAAATTGTTCAGTGCACATTGAAGATAACGGTGGGACACACACACGCACGCACCATAACAACATATACGATATACGTATTTTTATGTTTATTTTAAATTCCCGACTTTTACCATAATAAACTAAGCCGATTATTGCGGTTGGTGGGTGAATAATATTATGTTGCGTTACATAACCTTTCTGCCAAGCTAAATGTAGGTACCTACCTACCACAATATTACCTACGGAATTATCTAGGTGGGTAATTAAGATTGGGTCTCGTGTAATTTTCGTATAAGCCACGAGGTCTTCCCGAGTTTTATCTCAATAAAAATGATTTTGCCGTGATAGACGATAATATAGTTTACAGCACGACTGTTGTGTCTTGTGTGCTGTCACTGACAATAACGTAAAATGCATTGACTACCTACCTACATCTTTCTCTTTTTTAAATTATGTGCAAAAGTCGTTTATTTTCTTTTTATAATTAATTCATTAATTACTACGAACGACAAACAAGTTGAGCGTATGGCACCACGGCCTAGTGTCCTACTCTATATTTTAGACGCCACTGCCGCTGTTTATAGCAATAATGTGACTGTAAGACTAGACCAGTTTAAACTCGATCGAAATTGAGATAGGTTCTATTCAAATTTATAATTAATAAATAACAATAATTATTATTCAATACATCAGATTATCATTATACAAAATCATATTTTCATTTCTCATTTGACGAATGTACGCAAGAGTAAAAATCCGGATGACAAAGTCGAGTGCACAATACAATAGACTTCGTGAATCTCGATGATCAAATTCGGTATTTATACGAATTACTCATCAAGTGTATAATGTTCATTCCTGTTGTGTTTTGTATGTACATTACGAACAGAGAAGACGAATAATATACCTATATAGTCATATAGAGACATAGAGTATAATAGATCAAACAATTATTCCGTTAAATTCCACAGGTATATTATAAAATAGGTAGGTATCTAGTTATTCATAATATTATATTAAATTATTATTTTATTTTCATCTGCTGACTTGCGTAAAGTTTAAGAGTAGATACTTATAATTTAAAACAACTGTAGGTGTATATTATTGTCTTACAAGTTTTCAAATAACGACAAAAATTCTAAGGAGAAAAATACACGCACCTTATTTTAAAAAAAAAAACAATTACGCGATAAAAAGTAGACTTTTAACATTATGTTGGTAATTATTAATTTATGAAATGCAATATTCTCTATTGAATACATTGAACTCGAATTTAAAAATCGATTACTCGCCACCATTTGACCAAAACAAATAACGGCTCATTTCGTTTTCATTAACCGTAAAATGTTTATTCGGTATGTTCGGTATTAGGTATGTGACATTATATTATTTTATTTGACTACCACAAAATTTGTATAAGTATATTTTTATAATATAATATAGTAATTAGTAGGTAAACATTAGTAAGTATAATAGGTAGGTATACCATTTAGATATTTTCCAGGTTCCCATTTTTTTTGCATAGTTCATCTATCTATTTGTATATTATTTTATTTTATCTACATTTTTTATTGTATAAAATGCATTGACATAATTCAATTCAATTTTTTGATTTTAAATAATACTAATATTATATAATATGCACATAATTGGAATTAATTTGATAAACTAATTACTGTCTAATAAGTTTTTTAAAATTAATATTACTGATTTTACAATTTAACATACCTACATTTATTAGAATTTATAATATACCGTTTTATAATTCTTCAATGGATACCTATTTATTTGGTTTTTACTATTAGTTACTTATTTATGAAACGATATACTTTGCGTGTTAAAAGCTATCAATCGTAGATATTCCTATAATCAAATCAGTGACTCAGCATATTAGGTACCTGTTAAGTAATAAATTATAATTTACAATTTTAATTAAAATAGTGATCGGGTTTGTTTGTATAATATAATTTTTTACTGCACCTACTTTATTTTATATTATTCGTATTTATTTAGAATTTTAAAATGCGTATATACTATAATATTACATTGAAATGTTGATTGATGAGTGCTGACATCATATTGTAATGTAATATGTATGGTACCTACCACGTAATACACCTTTAATATAGGTATCCTCGATTTACTGGACAATATTTTGTTAATGTTGTGTTTTTGGCTTAAATTTATAGGCGACAACATGCCAGAATAAAATACTATATAACAAACTTTTCAATTTTATGCTATGTTTAGAAATACGAACAACATCTGTCATCACTTTAAGCTTAGTCATTATTAAGTGAGTTTTCTGCATATATGCATAAAAATAAGCAAGGGAACCAAGTTTAATTATAGAGTAGCAGAATTAAAGAATAAATAATACAATTTGTAAGAAATTCTATCTAGTAAATCTAATAAGGCATTGAACGATTTTACAATTTTATTTATTCGTGTTGTTTTATTTATCGATGTTGTTTGAACTATTATTCCAATTCTTTGTTACGTTTGTCCACCACTTAACTTCATGTGACAGTAGCATGATGTGTTAGTATTAAATAGCGATCTATTGTTAGTGTAGGGTTGCATAATGATTGTGATATGTGTTTTTAGAGTTCAGGGTTACGTGCGCATGTAATATAGTAATATACCGCCACAATCTCATGATAAATTAAGTTTAATTTAAAATATTAGTGCTGGTATACATATTATTCAATCAATAATATTTTGATTTTTTTTTTTAATATATTTGATCTAATATTATACAGTGATTATTTTTATTGTGATCACCAACCTTGTTTATTACGATACAATTTTTAACTTTTAAGACACTACCTATTCCACATATTTTTTAAATTTAAATATATTTTCCCTAAGAGTAAAACAAAATTAAATTTTATAAACGCCAAATTCGTGGTATTAAAAAAACCCTCTAGAATATTAATTATGATTATTGATTAACTCAATAGCATTAACTTTTAGTTTATACTAATATGTTTTAAATTATCAATACTATGTCAATCATTTATTATACTAATTTTAATGCGTGTCATTTGTGTCATTCTTTCTACGGCCCAATTAAGGTGTCATCTCCACGCATAATTTATATTTTATAATTATTGTTATCGTTATCTTAAAAACAATTATTAATATCTTAGTTGATAAATGCATATAATGTGTGTGGCATATTGTTAGCTGTTCAGTATACAGTATAGATTAGTTCAAGTTGTATGGGTGTACATTACACACACTTGAATATTTTAACTATTTGCGACTTCAACATTTTATAATATTGCATTGTAGTAGAAGTTATATAAATATAAAATAATATAAATTACGGTATTCTTATTAATATTGCATTACTATATATTTTCAATCTTCTTTAAATTATTTAATTTCAATTCAATATTGTTTAGAAATCACTTGTGTTGTGGTCGTGCGCCGTTTTAATTAAAATGTCCATGCTAACTGCAACCAAGAAGACGAATATAGAAGATGATGCTGCACTTCTATCTACAGTAACTACCAACAGCATCTTAAATCAATTAAGAGCAGACTCCGAGTACGACGAAGAAGACGACGAATTAACAACAAGACCTACACCTACTGGTAGCCCTCCTCCAGTATCTGTGACCACTGCTAATTCTGCTGGTAAAAATAAATTATTTTTAATAAACAATAAATCCATCGTATTTACCTAATTAAATTTTACACAATTAAACAAAAAAAAACTGCATTGTTAATATTATATTATTTTTGTTAGGTATTATATAATATTATGGTGTAACGATTAATCACAATCTCAATTATTAAAATACCGTGTCGACGCATGTAGTTGGTCATGCGCCCACGTAGGTACCAAAAGTAATATATAAATGTAATAAATTGACGTTATAGTGTATAGGTACTCAACAGAAGTATCTTCTGTGTGACGGTAGCGGGTAGGTTACGAAAAAATACTAGGATGAGCCTTTGGTAGTTCTATTTTTAAAAACCATGACAAAATATTGTTTTTTTGCCAACTATTAAAATGGCGGTCGGTGACATGAATAAATAACAATTACTGTATAGTCTGTTCTCGTTTGTGGTGTTCGTCAAATTGTAATATTAGTACTATCGTAACCACGTTTTATCGAACTTTCAAGTACCTATATATTAATAAAATATATATAATAAATAAATCAGTTTACTCTTTTATAAAATATTTTTTAGTACTTATTATAAAAATAAAGTTATCCCCAAATGAGTAATGATGGATTAGACAATACGACCCAGGCCGCTACGCCAATTATTGAATCACTATCTTCATCCAATATTTCGTCGAACAGCGCAGTATACTTGAGACCTAATACGCCATTAAGACGTTTAAAATATTGTAAATCTCCAACAACCACCATGGCGTGTTCAGATTCGGATTCTGATCAAGAATATCCGCGCAGGTGGAAGGACCTTGCAGATTACTCGGACGATGGTGAAATATAAAAATTAATATAAAAATTAATCAAAATTTACATTTGTTTAACCACTTTGAAAGTCTTGATAGCGTTTAATTAATCATTCAGTACGTTCTAAACAAACTATGTTTGTATATATATTTGTATGGTTATTTATTTTCGTATATCTTATATTAGGTACATTTATTTATCTTTAATATACACATTACACATGTACCCACAATCTACATATTATTGTGTTTTCAAGTATAATGTACTTATTGTAGAACGTGTGTACGTACACGTGATGATGGTACAAGGTGACCCAGTACCGCGCGCAAGCCTTCAACAGGTTCAACTGATAGATACCCCTTTACACAATCATAGAGTAGGTAACCTACGTTATCGCATATAAACACCAGTTATCACACATATATGAATCGATGTGTACTGTACACATTCGCCACTAAGCGTTTGATGTCATATTCTTTTTATCATATTTAAATATTTTTCTTCTTTGAGAGTAAGCACTTTTTAAATATAATATAATATAATACGTTTATGTCTGCTAATTTACATAGTTAGAATTGGTATGTTACTTGTGTAGCAATTTAAATAATATAAAAACATATTATGTGTTGGTATAGAATTTATTTAAAATTTTACTTTATCTGCCCACAGACAGTGACGACGATGAAATAATGGCTTCATCTCCGCCACCACAAACTTCGTCCGCTGGCTTACCTGGTAATATGACTCCAGCAACTGGTGCACCACCAGCGGCCGATCTAGCATCTGGCGGTGGTACGTCGTCGTATCATATACCACAGTTCCCCATCGAACGCATAGAAAGCAAAATGGCAGCCATTAGTAGCAGGTTAGAATTTAGTTACTATTAATTAATTATTTTTATACGCATACAATTTGTCAGTTTACTCTCTTTTCAAAAACTTAGACAACACTTTTGTACCGAATTTATGCTTGAACGTATTTTATAGTATAGGTGTTAAATTATACTGTACTACCATACCTGTATACCGACTATAGTAATATACGGTATTTGCGATAGGATATCAGCTCACTAATTATTTATTTTTTTAAGCCACGTACAGCAATTGCGTTAGCAACACCAACCTTGTGTCGTTAGCAGTATTGGTGTAAATTTACTTATTATGAAATTGAAAGTAAAGAACATTATCCGTGTCATTAACGTTGGCTTTTTTTTTTATAATATTTTTATTTCAAATCAAGATACTATGAGTATTTTTGAATTATAACATTTTACATACTTGTAACTTTTAAGAAGATACCCGCTTGTATTTTTTCCGTCTTACAAACGTGCAACAACACACACAATTTGACCACAGCAGAATTAATTTTGTGTTATAGTTAGTTTTAATATTAAAGTAAAATGTGAATTTAACTATTGCCTAGGTATCTAATTTAATGTAAAAATATGATCTGTGTTCTCTCATAAATTTTAAAGTGAATTAATATTATAACTCTTTTAAAATTAAAATATAAAAAAATCTACTAGAGAAACGGATAATAATTTTAGCTTTAAATTTGATAACATCTATTTGAATTTACTGTACTTAATATTAAAACTAACAACTCAAAATGGTTATAACACATGCAGCCCATTACGACCTCTTAATTTAAGATTAAATATTATAGTTGGTACTAGGTACCTATTTATATAATATTATTACATATTATTGTGGTTATTGTAATTTTTAGACATCTTTTTCCTATTTCCATTGCACGTGCCCTTTTTCTGTGGGGCTTAATTAACTGCGTTTCAATGTCATCTTTGTTTCCAGCATTATTCTCGTCGTTGTGGGTAATTGATTTTTTATTATTGTCGTCGTATACCGATACAAAGGTATCGCGCTCTAGTATTAGTAAGTGGACGGGTGCATTTGTAAGTTTTCTTTTCATACAACGCCACTCCAATGTACACCGCACCGTTTAATATAATTATTATGACTTAAGGTGCCACGTTGGTAACTGCCTTGAAAAACGAATCAGTATCGGGAGACGGTTGTCGCATAAGTTTACAGTAGCCTTCCAATCGCCATATCGTGGCACAGCGTTTATATACTCAGACGTCTGCCGTGTTGCGGGTGCAAATACCTTCCGTTCGTTTTCAATATTATCTACAATGACATTTTTGTAGTTCAAAACGTTGGTGCAAAATAATATTTAGACTCGAGTATCGATTGGGCTTGATAATATGTTTGCTAATACGGACCAACAGCAAATTTGGTGCCGGGAACGATTGTTTTATGCCGGGTAGGTTTTTTAGAATAATTAATACGATTTTATAATATTATAAATTATTATTATTTCGTGTCTATTACGGCGTTATAGTTAAATGGTACTTCGGTCTTCGGTTTTTAGTGATTGTTTTCTAAATTAAGACGTTATTAGGTTTTTATACAATTCCCATTTGGTATTTAAATGTACTCACATGAATTTAATTGCTAACTCAAATTAAAATAATTGCGGACTACGGTGGCTGTATCGGAACTGTATCATATCAAACTTAAATGTTTATGAATCCTGATGAAATTAGAAAACTAAATAGCTCGTTATAAGAACTTTTCTTCAACTATTGGTAATTAGATCTTCTATTATATACCATCATATTATTGTATTAATTTATTCATTTTTGAAACACGCTATTATGCGATAACGTGATTTATATTATAATTGTTAATCTTACTTAACACTAAAAATTCGTTTTAAATAAGTTAAGTCTATTTTATGTTCAATTATTAAACATCAACGGTGGAATGTATGAATAATAATTTAGTATAAAGAAGTTTTTTCACAATTTTGTATTTGTTACTGACTTACTGTCCTCTTTAATAATATCTTGTTTTCGATATATTTTATTATTTTAAATAATGTAACCATAAGCAAATACACAAAATTACCGATAACTAATGGTAGGTTACATATTATGTAATATGTGCACAAACTCTCAACTCAAATTATTGATTATTTCGATTCTATTAAAATGTATTTATTTAATACAATACTGGATATAGGTAACTAGATCATATTTTAATAAATTAAATTTTCATTATTATCTTAGTTACATAAATTGCATGTTAATTTCGGAAAACGCTAAACAAACATACTTCCGAAGACAACTTTCTGAATTATTAATAATAAGCAATCTATTTTTCGTGTAATTGTGTACGATTTATTTTATGGTACGTGTGCATCGTGCCCTCGTGCACGTAGCGTCTATAATCTAGTTTTTAACATAGGTAGGTACGAATAAAATAATCAAAGTAACGAATCAATACGTTCCTACTCGATATAAAAATAGTTTATCTAAATTTTAGAAATTTTACTATTAGTTGTCTTATTCTACATAACTTGTTAATTTTCACAGTTAATAATAAAATTGTGTACATAGTATACTTATATCATTGAGTATAGTTCGTATTATATAGGTACTAATGTACTATAATACTCAATGTATCTAAGTATAAATAGTATTTTTGTCTTTCTTATACTTTATACCTTTTATAAACAATTTAAATATGCTATGTTGATTTGTTTTTTGGAATGGACTTCTAAAAACTTTGATTTATTTTTAACTTTCTAGTGAATTTCTTAAATTGTATTACTTAATATTTATCATATAATCACGTCAGTAATATTAATTTCCAATTATTTTTATATTTTTTCTTACAAACAGCAGAATAAACCAATTTACACATTATGTAATGACTTGCATGTAGTATAACTGTATAAGTTATAAGAAATAGCTGGTTGTTGGTATTTACTAAACTAATTTTAAATTATTGAATATAATATAAATTTAAAAAAAAAATTGTAATATGGGTTAGTCGCTTTTATATAATAATATTCTTATAATTGTTTCCAGTAATAACAGTAATAAATATTAACTGCCATTGCCATTGCCAATAAATATTAAAAAACTTGAAAGAACTTAAAATACATTTAAACATCATACAAAAAAGGTGATAAAAGGAGGGGGTGTTTATTTATTTAAATTTCTTATTTTATCCTTGAATTGCTGTAACAGCGACACACGTGCCGATTTATTGGCTGTTACCACATTCTTTTACACTGGGATACAACACAACACTAAACTTCATATTATCAGCTTGTTTTTAATTATTTTATCGTGATTAATGAACACCGTCATGTTATTTAGTATATTTGTCTATCTATAATATTATCTTATATGCAACTAGTTGCGTACCTACTACCTACCTATGCAATCTACAGATTTGAAGCGTGTATACAATTTTATAAATTTTAAGGATCTAAAAAATACTCTTTCATTTTAAATGTAATATTTGGAAAATACAATAGGTAGGTACGATGGGTATTTTCAAATACCCACTTGGATTTTTTTACCATTTAAGTCTTGTGGCAGAAACTTTTTTTTCGCACGAGAACTGCTCTTTCCTACTGAAAATTGAAAAAAAAACAGATGGGTTTTTTTGAAAATGTTAATACATTTTAATCGATATCGAGACGGGTAGTTTTTGATTCATTAAACTTTATGTACTATAAGATATAGTTTATGATAGTGGGTTTTTTTGAAAAATATAAAATATATGTGAGGTTTAGTTTAGTAGGTACTTACTATAATATCTATTATCCTTAATACTTAATAAAGGGTTTGTGGAACAGAAAATATAGTTTCTCTAGAAATAATAGAATTTTTACACAAAATACTACCTACCTACCTACCTACCTATGCTATAATATGGCCAACATCGGTATCTCCCCTGCAGTCCCCACTACCACACCTTGGATCCGCACCTGACAGTAATAATTTTCTTTGACAAAATTTATTAATCTTATAACATTAAACAAATTATAACATTTAGACGTTTACATAAAGCCTAAAAATTATAAAATTAAATTTTCATGTTTTGGTACATCTTACATGTATTAAATAAATCTATACCTAAGGTTTTTATTCAAGGTAATTTAATTCGGTTATGGGAGATACCGAATACATAGCCTATAGTAATCAATTTCAATGAACTGCTAAGACAATTTGTTGTTACTTATTAGTTAATAGGTAGTTTATAGTTTATACATTATAGGTTTAACAATACAATTTATTTATAATTTACTATTTGAACTTTTAGACTCTAGCAGTTTTAATTTAGCATGATGTATGAGATGTGTTCTCGTCGTTTTTATTTATTTATTGTTTTCATCAAATGACTAGACCATGAATTACAACACGGTACTTCAGTAAAGCTGAATGTTGATAATGTTATTTTATATTATGATTACTTATTAATCACATAAATTATTATTTAACGAAATACAAAAATAGGTGTTGTGTTAAAAGCATATTGATTAGGTATCGAATGTAAATTACTATATTATCGGATAATAATTTATTTATTGTGGTCTTTGACCGCCGCTAGCCACTATAGCTTATAATTATAATTTTTTTATTGTCGTCTATAACACTTGAGTTCGGTGGTTCACTCAGATAAAATTATAAACTCTTGAGGAAATAACTTTTAGTTTTCATAATACATTATATATTATAATGTTTTCTTTTTGAGTTCATCTTTGTTGTTAAGCTTCTGTAATCGCCAACACTGCCAGGTTTGGCTAAAAAGCTTTACGTTCATTTCCTATCATACAGTGTTTTGAAAAACATATGATTATTTATGTTTTAATTTTTCCGATTATTTTGCACTGTACAGTCTGGCCAAAGAAATGGACGAAAAGCGAGCTGCTGCAGCAGCTTTAGGATACCCACAGTCAACAATGAACAAGGATGACAGGCAATTGTATGGTGATGGTGTATCGATTTCAGCGCAGTCATCAACCACTGCGGGAATCGAGAAACAACTACCATCGACCACTGGTGCACAGTGGCAACAAAATCTATCTGAAGACAACGAAGGGCAATACGATTTCGTGCCACATTTTCAACGAGTCAGCATTGGCGGAGAAGATAACAATGGGGTAATAATATATAATTGCGTACAAGTCGTATTATACTCTACATAATATTAGTAATATAAAGTTGAATAATTTCACCGTACGATTGGTTGTTAAAATATTAACGTATTAATAATATATAACCTAATGAAGACAATCATTTCTCTTAAAACATACATTAAAAATAGTATTATATAGATAACATCGATAGCTATCTTTTATTTTTATAACTATCAAAAACTTACTGTATTATATATACTAAGCTGAAATCAAACAATTTTACTTAAGCAAAACATTTAATATACGTCGTAATTTCAATAATATTTTTTTCCAAAAATTTTGCAAAAATATAGCAATAGTTCAAATAGTTGAGTTGTTTTAATTTGAGCAGGTATAGTTTATACAATAGTGAATCGATTTCCACATAAAAAAAAAAGAATACTCAGCACCAGCTGGGTGGTTAGGTTTTAGGTTTTAATTTATTTCTACCGTATGACTTTTTTCTTGAAAAATTAAATAATTTTATCGTTTCAGCTAGCATTTAAATTTTATTAAAATAGCGTATAACATTTAAACTACCACTAATAAAGAAAATCTTAAATACGCAACTGTCACATGATACTAGACAATGCATTTTTAAGATAAACAAAATAATGGACAATACAATAAACATATTATGTTTGTTTATATTTATGTATAGATGATACATAATTAAGGTGGTTTGTGTAATTTAAAATATCTAAATCCGTATTACCAATATGTTATAAATTTACAATTTATTTACACGAAAACCTATGATTTGAAACAACAGATTTGTTCAAATGTCTGAAAAGTATATAATATATTAAATATAATTGTCTATAGATATAATCATTAAATTACATCATATTATTATAATATTAATTCCACAGGATAGCGAATTAAATTATTTATGAACATTAAACGATTATGGTAAGATCTATTCAACTAACTGGCTTTTGTCGGTAGTTAATTTAGAGAAGACTTAAAACAATAAATAATAATCCTCTTTGCATCCATATACGGTTGTTAAATTATTATTAAAGTTAATAAATAATAATTACGTATCAAATAATATAGGTATAATACCTATATTATTTCAATTTTTTATGAGTTGTTTAGTAAATTCTTTAATAATGGTCTTATAATAAGATGTTATAATACTTATAATAGTATAATACTTATATTTTTATGAACTCTATTTTATAGAGTTTATATATGATAATAAACTAATATGTAGCTACCTAATATAATAAGAAATAACATAAATAAATAAAAATCAATTTTTGAACTACCTATTCAGTATTCTTAATATACAAACGATTCGCTTGTAACTATTATACATATAATAATTTATAATTATATAAACACATATTACCCTTTTCTTAAATAGAGACCTATTAAAAGATAAAAAAAGATGAATGTCTAGTTGTATTATTATTATGATAACGATGTATTAGTAATTTTGACGAGACGGTTTTAAAAAAAATATTAAATGTCAATATGTCTCAATAATTCAAACTTAAAATGCATATATAAACGAAATTTAGTAGATATTTAAAATTTGAATTAGAGATAAAATAGCATAGGTACCTACCATTGAATTATTGGGTCTTCGAAATTAAAATTGTTTATTTTAAAAATTCTCAAAAATGGTGAAATGTTTGAAAATCATAGTATTAGGTACTCAATGCATATTACACACGCATTTACACATTTATCAGAAAACTTCAATAAATAACCAATTTTAATTTAGACTCTTTTAACTGCTAAAACTTTATATAGAATATACAATTTAAGCAACAAAAATTAAGGAAGCTTATAATAGCATTCAGTTAAAATTAAGTCATTTCAGTTTTGGGTATCAGCGTTTCCTATATGAATAACATTTTCACTGGATTGTTGTTTGTTATAAATATATATAAAACATGTCTAATATGTAAATTAAGTGAAGGGACAACTTATTATTTAAAATAGCCTTATAGCTTAGTATTACATAGTACTCGTACTCCTATAGATAAATAATTATATAAAATTGATGTAAATTGGTACGAAAAACGTTTGTGACGTTAATTTGATGATAATAATATTTTATACTAACGGCCGCTATGCACACTCTATGCACACAATATATTGATGGTGTAAATTAGGGTTTTTTTTACCCTCCCCGAAACTACCCTCATCCCGGTACTATTGTTGTTTCTAAGACTGTACACGTTTAATTTTCTCACATAGGTCCCTTTGGAAGATTTGCATTGGGCATCACAACAACTCATGGAAGCGTTGCACATTAGAGAACGTTATATGCGAGTGTCCCATCAATCTTTCCCGAACATCACGTCGAAGTTTTTCCACAAAAAGCACCCTAAGCCGCAAGGGGGGGATCCATCCTCACCGTCGTCCGGTAACGCTTCTGTGCTTCACTCCTCGGACAGCGTTACAGACGTGTCCGCTGGTGGCGACTCGAACAACAAATCGGAAATCAGACAGCCTTATCCAAGAGCCCGAGTGATCAAGCACGAAGACCGTCAATCGATCGCCGGTAAGTCACAGTGCAATATTAGCGTAATTGAAATTTATATAATATCAACTGCAATTAATATACCTAATCAATGTCTGTAGGTATCTCTTTACAACAGAATAAAATATTATACATATACCTAGGTGCCGTCGGGCGTGTGAGAAAGTGAGATTACCATACTATATAGCAGCTATATATATACATAATTATATTAGAATATATAATTCATTATACGGTTTTCCAATTGCGCGTACCCGTGCACATATTACCAGCTATGTGTGTATATATGATAATTATACAATTTAAATATTATGTGTGTTTGTGTTGTGTGTGTATATGTGTACAGATATCCGGAAACGAGTCTCTGTTTCTGATCTAGGGACGACACAATCTAGGAAATCGTCGTATAATCCGTGGGCTGACCGACGAAGTTCGACCATGGACGACGCGTTTACCGACCAACTATTATTCGACATTGCGTACGGCCAATACGGTGCGTGCGTGCGTGTTTGATGGACGATCTGATATTATATAATATACATATATATATATATATATATATATATTATACATATAATATTATATTGTATAGAGTCGTCTGATTTGTGTATTATGTGTGTTGGTGTGCTTGTGCAACAATTTGTTTATTATACCTATTCTGATGCATTAACATAATATCTATTAAAGCGATTAAAAAAAAAAAAAAAATCAAAATAGCTCTAATTGAAAAAAAATTGTAAGACTCGTGTAGAATCAGCGATTTTTGTATTTGTATTTTTTTTTTTTTTTTTTGAACACTAGAATTTTATACATGTTGCCTTTAATACATAGATCAGTAATACTAAATTATGTTTTTTTTTTATACTTAAGCATATCACACTGCCACCGCGTGTAGTGAAAACATATAGTTTCGTGTATAATATATTATATAACACCGCAGCCGCCGCATAATTATTTCGTATTCCAACAAAATACATGCGAATAATTTCCGCACGCTCGTAGTAATTAAACTGTTCGTTAATAGTTTAAAATTGATTTTAACGAAACCTCATATTTAATACATGTACGATGATAATGGAATAAAATGCATTATTATTATCAAAATGAGGTGAGGACTGCTCCTCGAATTAATTTCTAACAATGTATGTTTTTATTTAAAGTAACATCAGTAATCAGTGTATTTATATGTATGTATACATAATATTATATATATTATATATATCGACGAACCAACTTCATTCATTGTCTAGTGGTATATATATAATATACCATGGAAATTATACTAAATTGGTTTACCTTAGGCCTTAGTGGCTATATTAGTATAAGGTCTATGATATTAATATATTATATTATACATACGTATATAAATACGTGTATCTCGCACGCTCTAAATTACAATTTATTGTTTGTTTTGTTCACCGAATAATTTTTATTTTGTCTATGACTACTATATACGGGACATTGTTAATAACAGCATACCTATAGTTCCATCACTTTTAAATCGGATTTGAGAAAAATATACGAGCGTTTATTTTGTGTGACAGACCATCCGGTACATCCTCCAGCCAGCGTTGGCGACCCGTGGCAGTGCGACTTTCCGCCATCATTGGGCTTCACGATCCGTGCCAAGGATGGCGTATTTCAAATGTACAGCAGTCCTGACTCTGAGACTCCAGTTCAAGGATTCCCATATCCTAATTTGGAGACGTTTTGTCGGGACATGCAACGGCTGTGCACTATGATATCTGACGGTCCACTGTAAGTAATAACAACGATATTTTCCAACCGATCCAGCTGGCAGTAGTTAGATCAGGGGTAGCTCCAGAGGGACCCTAAGGGTCGTCCCCTCAAGCTGGTATTTCCAAAAAGTTGTATATTGTAATAAAAAAAATTACAAAAAAACACATTATACTGTCGAACGTTTTCTGAAAATTATGACTTAGCCCCCCAACCAAGTTTCTGGAGCCGCTTCTGAGTCCGATTAAAATACCAAAATATATGTTTTTACTGTCTGCAAATGGGCGGATCAGCAAACATTTTTTTCTCTATCTGACGTACACATAGAATGAAGCAATAAAACCCACTTTCTGTATTTCACTCATCCGGATTACATTATTGAAATGAAGGTGTTAATGTGTTATTACCTATTTACCCCTACCTATATTTTTTTTTTAATTTTTTGATTTTATAGAAAATTATTAGTATTTATTTGATACAACACAAACAATTTTTTTCTTTATAATAATATGTATTGTTACAATAGCTGAATTTCAATAATGTTATCACCGCAGTGGGTGAAATACATAGAGGGATTTTAACTATCTATGTTACATACATGTGTAAGAAAGATAAAACAATCTATCTAAATCAAACAGTCAAAATATGTTTTCGTACTTTATTTGCTAGTATAATAACCTCCAGACAATAATTTAAAAAAATTATTCAAGTATTTTGTTTGATAGGATGGAATTGTCTGAGTTTATAATTTATATTTTGTTTTAACTATAATTTATCGTGACAGAACTCAGAAAATGTTATCATTCAGAGTTCGATATACAATTTAAGCAAATTTTATATATGAACATTTTACGAGATATAACTAATGAAATACAATACGAAAACATGTTTTTAAAAATCACAAAACTGATATAAAATTATAATAATATAACATGCATGAGACAACAAGTAAACTTAAAAAAATATAATTTAATATTTTTAGTTTTTTCAATTTGTATATTATTGTTATCATTGCCCTAATATATATTTTTCCACCACAGAAAATCATTTTGTTATCGTCGGTTGTCGTATTTATCGTCGAAATTCCAACTGCATGTGTTACTAAACGAATTGAGGGAACTTGCGTCACAGAAAGCTATCCCGCATCGTGATTTCTACAATATCAGAAAGGTACTTTAAACTAACATTTTATCGAAACTGTTCAAATAAAGTATTGTCTCTAATATCTATAATCAATATCAAATGATCTATTAAATTTCAAAGCTTTTATAAATATTATTTGTTTTGTGAAAGGTCGACACCCATATACATGCTGCATCGTGCATGAATCAAAAACATTTGTTAAGATTCATTAAGAAAACTTTAAAAAATCATTCTGATGAAGTGGTGTCTGCTGGTGGTATGACACTTAAACAGGTTTTTGAATCAATGAAATTAACATCGTATGACTTGACCGTCGATATGTTGGATGTACACGCAGTGAGTAAATTATAATTTTAAAGAAATAAGTACAATTAGATGAATATTATGTTTTTTGTAGAATAAAATAAATTGATCAAATCGGTTTAATCACTTTTAATACTCCTTAAATGTGTTAACGGAAACAAATGCGAATAATATGTCGTTATAAAACATTTTCCTGTTGACCTTTTCTTTACGAATACAACCAGCTTAGTAAAGTAGATACTTATAGAATAAGTGACGTGACCTTTATAATAATAATAATATAATTGCAGTATGTTCAAACCTACAAAAGCTACGATATATTGATAAATAAATAAAGTTAGAAGTATCACCGTTTGTTATGATGAGTGTATTACCTATTATCTTGTACTCATAATATACTTAGTATAGGTACTTATTACTTATATTATTATATTCTACAGTAGGATTATGGCGCATAGAGAGTTGTGAGTATATTTTTCTACTAGACATTATTAGTTGGTAGTGTAATAAATAACATTATATTTTTAACTTATATTTAATTTAAATAAGGGTACAAAAGAAGAAAGAAAGGCTTAAGGGTACAAAAGTTACAAAACATTAAAAAATATGAATATATACGTACAAAAGAAACTTAAGAATTAAAATTCTTTGATTTCATATTTTATATGTATTAATAATGTATACTGACGTATCACGTATATTATACATATCTGTCGTCTGATAAGGCTTATAAATATTATAAATGTATATGTACGTATACTCTAACAATATAATAATTTATAGTATGTATCAGTTTGTAATGACTCATTATAATTTATAAGTTTAGTAAAAAATTACAACTTTTAAAAAAATTGTTATTGTTCAACTCCTTGTGGGTGCAACTCAGCCTTCCCGATAGGCAATCCGACTACGTCAGATCGCGGACAATATGCGACAGCATATCACGTAGGCAATGTATGGAAATTCGATTTGATGCATGGCTTGCACCTGACCTGCCCGATCAACTAATGACAACCAATAAATAATAAATACTAATTTCTACTAATTATTTCTCCTATAACCAATTGCAACCATTTATAAACAAAAATTTCCATCGTAAATCTTAAAATTCCCGTTTGAGCACCTCCCCGGGTAGGACCTACCGAGTCCCATATGTGAATCTAAATCATCCCGGGAACAACTCAGACACACACAAAAAATGTCATGAAAATCGGATTTAGGAATGCATAAAGGGACACACACACAGACGGACAAACATTAATTTTTATTACAACCTATTTTTTATCGTATTTTTTTTATCGCAATGTTATAAAAATATGTTTGAATTTAGTTGTTATATTCTGTTTTAAATCCGGTTTTATATATAAAATATATAAATATGTTTATCTAATAATCTACCGATTTAAATTATCGTTATTTGTTAGTAATTTATATGAAAATATTTAATTTTGTTATAATATAACGTAAAACATCCTGCTCATAATATATTGTTTTTTATAGCAGGTAGGTACAATAAATAAAAGAATAAATTAGAATTTATGTTAACTATAAAGAATTAAAGTATAAAATTCGAAGGCATATTTATTTATTTGGTAAACAACTAATTTGTTTTAATTTTATGGGTTATTATTTTTTTTAAATTTAGACCATGAATAACCCATGGATGAACCCATTAACCCATTATAACGATGAAGGTATAATATACGTTTTTTTTTTATAAGTAGGTATTTACCTAATCTCATGTATACACGTTAGTGCCTATTGGCTTAACTAGAGACGGAATATAAAATCAATATAATGCTTATAAATAAATCAATACATATTTTTAAACCGCTATTATAATAATATATGAGGAACTTTGGATTCAACTTTCAAGCTTTTTGACCCGATGTAAATTTTATCATTGATATTTATTTTAAAAAAAATAATAAAAAAATGAAAATTGAAAGTGTCTAAAATAGAATATCATATAAATATTCATTATTTCTCGGAATTATGATTTAGATTAACCGCATCAAGAAATACCACGTTATTATTTATTAATTATTGGTAAACATTGTAACTGTTTTTTATTATTCTGGGTTTTATCAGCTTGTTTATTTGATACGATATGCTTAGAAAGTAGTCCTATACTCTAATATTATATAGGTACTTTAGCCGATCGATAAAAAGTAAAAACTTTGTTAAAAAAAAATGCCTATAAGTTATCATAACAAAATCATTATATGTATAAAAAATAATTCTATTTTATCTTTGGTGTTATTTATTATTTTTTATAAATGTACCTATATTATTTTATAGGATCGCAACACGTTTCACAGGTTCGACAAATTTAATTCCAAATACAACCCTATTGGAGAATCTCGTCTTAGAGAAGTATTCTTGAAAACAGATAATTATACTGGTGGTAAATATTTTGCTCGGGTAATTAATGAAGTGGCGGCTGACTTAGAAGAATCAAAATATCAAAATGCCGAACTCCGCCTGTCAATCTACGGAAAGAGTCGTGATGAATGGGACAAACTAGCAAAATGGGCTATTTCTAATAGAGTGTATTCTGACAATGTTCGATGGCTAGTTCAGATTCCACGATTGTTGTGAGTATATAAATATATAATATAAACAATTTTATTTATTTGCACATAACATTGACTACTTAAGTCATAAGTTTTTTTTATTTAAATATATGCACATTATATTGTATTAGTATTACATAATATATTTTAGTATTGTTATTGAAACATACATTATTAATTATAAAAATGTTCTTTTTTACAGTGATATATTTAGATCGAACAATATTTTAGACAACTTCCAGCAGTTGTTGGATAATGTATTTTTGCCACTGTTTGAAGCCACCAATGATCCTAATTCACATCCAGATCTCCATAGGTAACTGATAACCATACTTATTAGTTATTATTATTTAATCTTTAAGTATTAACACATTTTTAATTGGAAAAATTGTTGAAATAATAATATACAATTTTTTAACGTAATATTTCTTTCAGATTTTTACAACATGTAGTCGGGTTTGATAGTGTTGATGATGAGTCGAAACCAGAAAATCCATTTGTTGACCGAGAAGTTCCCAAACCAGCACAATGGAGAGAAACTGATAATCCACCTTATGCATATTATCAGTACTATATGTATGCTAACATGACTGTACTCAATCATCTCAGAATGTAAGCTATTGACGTATCAAATATTATGTAATATGTAAAATAGTACTTAGAAGTTTAAAAATTATTAAATGCATGCATAACACATTATCATTAATTCAAATAAGTCTACTACAACTAAAGAACAATTATCTTTTTTAATTTCAAATATAATATTCTAAAGTATTAGTTTTAAAAGTAATTTGGAGATAACAGTTGTACAAACAACAAGGTAGCAATTAATTTTATATTTTTAAATTATCCGTTTGATTTTTTTGTCTTTATTAGCAAACAAGGTTTCAACACGTTTGTTCTAAGACCCCATTGTGGTGAAGCAGGAGCTGTACAACATTTGGTGTGTGGTTTTATGATGGCTGAAAATATATCACATGGACTGCTATTAAGAAAAGTGCCTGTACTTCAATACTTGTATTATGTTGCCCAAATTGGTATAGCCATGTCACCTTTGTCAAACAATTCATGGTTTTGAATTATCATCGGAATCCATTACCCGAATATTTGGCTCGTGGTCTGGTTATCAGTCTGTCAACAGACGACCCACTGCAGTTTCATTTCACCAAGGTTAATTTTCTTTATCATTTTTTACATTGTCTTGAAGTTTTATTTTTGAAACTATAAGTACCTACAGAATATTACCATGCTTAAGATGTTTTAATTTTTAAGTTGTAATCAACTGTAGGTGAGTTTAACTTTTTAAATCAATTAAAAAGAAAAATAATTTTATTTGATATATACATAATAAAATATCATGCATTTAAATAAATAGATATTAATTGTACTGTTTTAGGAACCGTTAATGGAAGAATACTCGATCGCCGCTCAAGTATGGAAATTGTCAGCATGCGATATGAGCGAGTTGGCTCGAAACTCTGTACTGATGTCTGGATTTCCTCATAGGGTATGATATAATATTTTATTAGTGCACACTAAAACAAAATACATTTTATTGACATTAATATTATTTCTATGCAGATCAAGCAGTACTGGTTGGGACCAAATTACACTAAGGAGGGGGTGGCAGGAAATGACATATCGAGGACCAATGTCCCGGATATACGAGTGGCATACCGCAACGAAACCCTTTTAGACGAGTTAGCGGTCATATTTGGCTCCATGCCGACAAATGCAACAACGAATACAAACAGTGGAACACCTACAGTGCCAAGTTCATAGGTCTATACATATAGTAGTTGTACTAGATAGACACATACATTATAGTCTATATTATAAGAATTGTATTCCATATATGTTTATAATCAATAATCATATTATAATTATTATTATTATTATTATTATCTAGATATTATTAATTTTTATGTGACTATATTGAATTTAAATGTATTAGGCAAGTATAGTTATATTTAAATTTTTATGATCCATGTAGATCATTTTTATTATTCAAATTATCTATTATGTGTAACAATTATTTTCGAATAATATACTTTATTTTAACAATAAGTACTAATAATAATCCTATTCTATTTATATTCTTAAAGTATGACTATAATACTTACAAATAATAAAGGGCGATAAATATACATATTAATTGTTAATTGTAATTTATACTTAGTTGTTTTTATTATAAAGTTATATAGACCTAAAGTATTTCCTACATAATTGTAAAGTAATGATTTTAGATTATGTAGTACCTATTTTTAGTTTACTATGTACTATTGTAAATGCAATACACATAGCACACATATATAAGCTAATATATTTACTCATCTATTAATTTATCGTATGTGTACCTTTTATTAATTTCTTCATTATATCCAGAATAATGTTATAGATGCATTTTGATTTGAGTTATCAGAAATTAATATAAATAAAATCCTATACTTCTAATTTCTTTAAACCTGTAGGCAATTAGTAAATAAGAAAGTTTAACTTATAATTAGATAAAATATTGCAATTTAAAAATACGTTCAAGTATCCTTTTACACCAGTGGTTCCCAACCTTTTTCATTATATTCATCTCTTGGAAATTTTTTAAATTCTCAAGCCCCTCCATAAATTAGAGTTTAGACGCCTTTTTTTCGTGTTAATTAAAAATGTATTCAGTATAAGTCTTGCTTAGGATATTCTTTTTGCGGTTCCTAAAATTAACTTTAAAACAATTCGTATACTTGCATATTATTATTGTAGTACACTTTTAACCACACGGCGTCTTGGGTATGCTATTTAACTACACCAATGTTAATGATTATTTTTTCGGGTGTCTCGTAATAACTTAGGTACTCTAGTTTATTAATTATTTCATGTGCGTTATATTGGCACCATTATGTTTAACTAATCAATTTCCAACAAAAAATTTATACCATTAATTTTACCCATTTATACCCAACAACTTCTTAGGGGAAACACGAATTTTATTTACGTGTTCTAGGAAACGTTTCTCCACCAGATGGATTCACATTAGGTATTTAAATTTTTTTTGCCGTTCATTGTACCATATTTCGTAGCATAACACTTGGATACATATCAGGGCTCGCATTTGAAAAAAAAAAATCCATTTTATGTTATTAACAATTAAAACGTTACACAATATGTGCGTTTACTGTTATTTAGAATTAAAACATTATCGAACTTTTGCGTTTATCGTTATTTAAAATAGTGTTAATAAATATTAAATTTACAAATAATAAATAATGGGGATAGCCGGTAGGTAATGATCCAGATACGGAATATAATATAATCAATTCTCAGATTGTTGGCATGAAAAAAATATGTTTTCTGAGAACCATCAATAGACCTTTAAATAAATTATATTTTAAATATTTCGTTTTCCGATATTTTTCTTTCAATGTATTCTATAAATTACGTTTTGCGTTATGTTGTGTTTAATGATACATGATACATAATATATTTTGTAATTGTTATGTTTCTTTTGGCGGTATTTAATTATTTTTGATCATCGCTTTCCGTTATAATTACGTTTACAAATTTCAATCGTTTTTTGTCAAATATAACTTTATAATCATTACGTTATTAAAATGTTTGCAAGCCCCTGATCATATATCATGTTTTCTCATCAGAACATCTTTAATCTGAAAAAACAATTATTATTTTGAATTATATTTATTTACCTGTAAATAGTTATTGCAGTTTGTTACATTTTTATAAAAATCATGTAAAAACATCTATAATAACGAATACAATTTAAAATCCAAATTTTTGATTCAAAAACTTCATAAATCCTAAAATGCTCTAATAAGTGAAAAAAATAACCTTAACATTTACAATTTGTAAAACAATACAAAATAAAAACTTCTTACTCTGATTCAAAAATACATGAAACGTGTACCTATTTTATAGAACGAGCATAGACGTAAATAGGGGGGGCGGCTTAGCCCACCCTTCAGCCTCTCGATCCCATCTAAAATAGTAAAATGAAATATGAATTGAAAACAAGCAAGTCATTTAAATAATTCATTTTTGTTTACTTATATCACAATAGAACACAATCATGTGTGACATATCCAAATGTCTACAAATTATTGCATGTTGCATTGTCAATTCCTATTAGTTCTGCTTCGTGTGAACGATCGTTCTCCTCAATGAGAAGAATTAATACTAAATTAAGGTCAAATATGGCACAAAACAGGTTTACAAATTTAAGTATTCTTAACACTGAGTGAGAATTATCAAACACAATATTAAAAATGTTGATATTCTTGACCAATTTGCAGAAAAAGATAGGAAAATGCAATTATAACAAAAAATACTATTTTATAATAAATGTACTTTGCTGGTGGATATTTAAAATTGTATTTCTTTATTGAAAATGTTGGTATTCATAATTGTATTATATTTTCTTGTTTATTAAGAGTAAGGGACAAGACCACAAGGATATAGTCCTACAACCCCTTCCCTCTTTTAAACATTTTAATTATGGGCTCGAGCCCACTCAATTTAATGGCTCTAGTTACGTCTATGAGAACGAGTATCATGTAGATTCGTATTTTTACATCCTCTACCTATATGTAAGAAAACATGTCAAAAACAATACTTGATCACTATTCAGACAGTGAAACAAAATATTTAAAAATGTAAATATTTTGCAGCCCCCTTAACAAATTCCTGCGGACGCCTTTAAATTGTATACCCCGTTCACACGATAAAATATTTGACGTATATCAAACTTCAAATATTTTAGAACCATTCATAAAATGGTATTCGGAAAAAAAGCCCCGTAAAGATTTTTTGATGTCAGTAAGTCACAAAATAAGAAAAAAATGTTTTTGAATTAAATTTTACTTATACTCATTGTATAAATTAATATATATTATTTTTTAAAAATTAATACTTAGGTACCTAATTTACTTTATAGTCCTTGTTTTAATATATTATTTTATAAAAATTATTTTAAAATATTTGAAGACATATTTGACAGTGTGAACATATTATATTTTATATAATATACATACATTGTACATAGTTTGATTAATATAATACCCTACTATGGTACGGTTTGTTATTGGATTTTGATTTAAGAATGGCATAATAAGTAATATATGTTTATTAAATTTAAATTTAAATTTAAATAATGTTTATTACGTATGAAACTATATGAACACAGATTTCTATAAAGTGTAGTACATTAATTTAATTATTTTATCAAGTAATATTTATTAATCATTTGACATGAATAAAATATTGTACATCACTAAACAAATATTATTTAACTATAATAACCACCTTTGTTTATAGATATATAATATACATTATAGTAAATCATTTAAAATAAATAAATGTAGCATGTTGCTAGAGACATTTGTTCAACTGGTCATATAAAACTTTAAAAATGAAAATATTATAATATTCGTTGCTGCCTAATATTCTAAATATTTATAGCAATAAAATTTTAAAATTAAAAATTTAGCATGTTTCTGGTAACATTTGTTGAATTTGTCAGTATAAATTATTTATAAATAATAAGTAATAGACAAATAAATCATTAGTAATTCCGCTATACTAATAAAGATGCTGCTATATTATTTTGTTGTTCCCGTATTGAAACTTCTAAATTTGTTTTTATAGTTTTTTTTTTTTTTTTATTGAAATAAAAGTAAACACGGTCTTGAGGGGTGATTTTTAATTTATTTGGAGACTGTTAAGATGACAATTTTCGTAATGGTTATTTATTGGACTCATTTTTTAAAGCAGCTAATATAGCTGTGGGTTGTGAAACATTTTTTCAAAACATTCAGTTCTTCCAAACATGAAATTCCATTAGTTAACCGACAATTCATTTACATTTAACATGCAACGATCTACTAGACGTCTAGTCGTCTAGACCGACTACCTTCGATAATTTTATAAATTTATAGTAAAGGTAAAGACTTGAAAGTAATATTTAGGCCCCAAATTAAGGCTGCCGGTTATAACTAACCCTGTAATGTGTAGTTGTGGCACTGTATATAAGTACCTATGTGGTTTACTAATAATATGCACATGTACCTATAGTGAGTTATATATTATAATCATTGCTTGACTGAAAGTCCCTATCTAAGTATTTATCCGGTATTCGTATATGATAAAATATCAACGCGTTTATCCACCAAATGCAATACGTAAACGTCTTATACGTGTTAAAAAAAGATTAAGATTTAAAAAAAGACTTGGTGCTATAAAATATCGTTATGGTTCGATATACATGGCTGGTATTAATGATGATGAATTAACGAGCAATGATATTATTCCCCCGTGGCCCTACAGTTATCATGGATTTGTACGGCCGTTAGATATTATTATTAATCGATTATACTATTATAATTAACAAAAGAACCGGAAGGGGTATTTATCGCCCAGCATTTAAGTCCAAACATATGATAATAATAATAATAATAATGTATAGTTTAACGATCTGAATACAATTTGAATACCGCACGTCGTTATTAATGTTTTCAATAGGGTAAACCGTTTTCTAATCGCATGATTATATTATTATCGCCTATCGCGGGTCCCCTCCTCTCGGCGCACCCGCCTGGATACACATGAAGACATTTATAAGCATAAGTATAGGTATAATACTACACTAGTGGTGGTAAATGTACTTAATGATAAAACGACGATAATAGTAAGTACAATATGCACTAATATCTTCATTAAAAATTATTTTTCCCGTAGTGATGATCGGGCCGACGGCGGGTACACAATCTTAGAGCTATCGATCCCGCACTCTAACCGTCGCAACAATACTAAAATATATTATACTTGTATACCTACCTAGTGGTTAGTTTTCGGTGCACATTACATATTATATTAATTAATAACTGTCGACATTATTATTATTTTTTTATTATTTTTCGCCACCATGTTTAAATACAACCAGGGCAGAGATCGATTCGTGCCCGATCGACATCGGAGCCCGTATTCGTTTTGTTCTGTGCACCACATCGCCGAAAATCACCAATACGATTGTGTATCCAACAACAGCTTCGATGAACCCGGAAGTACCGTAAGTACCTACCTATATATACTTGCTACTGTACGTTCGTGTAATCGTGTGGGTATTTTTATCACAGATATTTCGATTAAAGTCATCACAAACACACTGCCAGTGTATTTATATAATTAGACGGTTCAATACGAATAACAATCGTGTGAAGATATTATTAAAATAAATCATTTCATCAAGTCCGTCAACCACGTCCACGTCGATCGTTTATCGCCGGTTGTCTCGTTCTTCCAATGTCCCACAATAAACCAGAAGTCCAGACAGGTCTAATAAAAAAATGCCATATACCTACCTACTAATAATATTACTCACCGAGCCACGCTCCAGTATAGATATATTGTTCTGTATTAATCTGCATGCGTATACCACCGGCCCAATAAAATAAGAATTATGAATCAAATTGCTAAATTTCAAGCTTATTGTTACCCCAGTCATCTGTAGTTGCAGTTGTACACTGTTTTTTTTTTGTTATTACTAGTAGTTGCTCTACTACAATAAATTATAGGTAATATAGATTATGATGGGTATATAGTTCGAAATTATAGTGAAAATTCTATTTGTGTGCCACTATTATTATACTGGTTTCTGGTTTAATATAATACGATCGTGGCGGGAATACGTTTAATTTGAACCTGTGTACTGCGGTTTCAATTTATCGAAACGTTAGGTGCTCAAAATCGTAAGCGATAAAAACATTTAGGTACTGTAAATTGATATATCTGAAAAATGTTTGGACAGGATTTCCTGGAGCCTTTCGAGTGCGAACGGCAGCAAGAGCAGCAACACCGATCTTTCCGCCAACTTCAGTCGTACATGTCGCTGGATTCCATTGGCGGACACCTGTTGCGGGACGTTATGAACACGCGCAAACATGGTACAGACGAGGCAGACCTAATGACCATATACCGGGAAGCCAACATGACGTGGCCCATCCGGATGGTCAGCCAGAGACGTTTGGCCCGGAAGTTCAATCATGCCACCAGCAAATCACTGGTAGCAGATCTGCTGTTGGACATGCCGAATCTGTCCAACGACTGGAGTAAGTCACCAACGATAATCTAAACGTATATCAGCGAGTCTTTTCGACTTTGTAGTTTCTCTGTATAGTCCCAGTATAATCCAGGTATACAATACCTTGTGGCTTGTATACAAGGTGTAACAGAAAGACTTGACGAAAAAAATTACTGTATTTGGGACAGTACAACTGCCTTTATTTTTTTCAACAGTACCTATCTCGATCGATATGGGAAAGTGAATATAGTTGATTCATTCAGAAGGTCAAAATTTTAAATTCCAATAGTTTTAAAAGCGCCTAGAATAACAAAATAAAAATTAAGGAAAAACGGGAATTTTTAAGCAAAATCAGTTTTCGACAAAATCAATTTTGACTTTTGGTGTAACTCTAAAACAAATAACAGTAGATTCGTGACATTTTCACTAAATGTTTATATTAGAATTAATTTCTTTACACGATACAATTCACACGATCAAAATATTTTGACTTGTTTTGAGCTGCTAACGGACATAATATAATTTTTCAGTTTTTTTAGTTTTATTTTTTTATGATTGCCAATAAAATTTTATTCGTTGGGTAAAAAAGCTAGAAAATTGAATACAAGGCTCTTAATATATTGTTACAATGACATTTGAAAAATATTAAATATACAGTCACAATTTTTTCTTATAAGCATTTAAAGTTCAAATTTTGACAAAATACGTAAATATCACGAAAATGTGTAATTTTTTTTGAGTTAGAAATACATAAAAATTTTATTTTTAAATATAACATTAGAAAATTTAATACAAGATTCCTCATAAGTATGTCTATACCTTCATCAAAAAAAAATATTTTCCTAAAAGTCAAATTAATACTTGATAATAAAATATTTTGATCTGTTTAGGTATCAATTGTAACCTACTGTACACTGTACAGCAGAGAGACACCCACTTGCCCACCTTTTTTTGTCTGAGCAACCCCTGTTAAAATATTCTGGATCCGCGCCTGAATATAAGTATTTGAGACTATGTATGTACAAAAATACTAAAAATAAATAAGTTCGTGAGTTAAGAAGGAACCTAATATAAAATATTGTTGGTGATGAAAGTAAATAAGTACATAACAATAAACAAAGCATATAAAACGTTAGTTAAAGAAATTGGTGGGTATATTGTACACTTATTATTATTAAGAAAAATGAGCATTTATTTATATGAAACTATGAAATAGTAGAAAAAAATAAATTATTAATATATTAACATATCATACAAATATCCAAATTATGTAAACAAATTTAAAAATCACTAAATATGCAAAGATGTGCAAAATGCAATGTGTACATTTTTTATTATTTTTAATGACAAAACAAATTTTTCATAAAATTCTGCTATATTTTTTGTTATAAAACATGCAAATACTAGAAAATCCATTTCTCAAATAATACAAAATAAAAACAAGTAAAGGTAATACCTACTATACAATAGTGCAATAATTAGTTGCCCAATATATATGTAATTAAATTATATTGATTCTATACTTTTGAAAAATTTTGCTGTATAGGTACAATTGCATAGTACCTACTATAATACATAGGTATTAATTATAATTATATTTATAATGTTACCGAACTAATTTATGTAGAATAGTCGATAAGAAAGACACGGTGAGGCATACACAGTGGTGTGGAGAACGATTTTCACACAAGGAGCCACGATTTTACTCTAAACACCCACCCACCCAATATTTTATAAGACATAAAAAAATACATAAAAAAAAAATACAGTACATTTCTTAAAACGCATGAATATAAAACTTATAAAAAAAAATTGTGCCAAAGTATTTTTACACTGCTATTTGAGCAATACATCAGGAGCCTTGTGATAAATGTTGATGCTTTTTGGTCGGACAAATAAAATTTTGTTGGAATTTATATAAAATAAAAAAATTTTAATTTTAAATTGCCCTTAAACATCTCAAAAAAGGTCAAAATATTTTGAAAATTTTATTAAGTAAAGGAATTCATAAAATAAAAATATGATCTAAATTTCAAGAATCTACGGTAGTTCGTTTTGAATTACAACAAAATAAAAAAATTAGCATTGAAACTTATATCATACATCGCAACAATGTTCTGTAACCTAAAATGCACAGTGGGATGAGAGTGAATATAAAATGTTGTAAAAAATATGAACTTCAAACGCTCATAAAATCTTAATTTTATTTGCTTGTAGACATTTTTTTTTTTTTAAACCGGTAGGCAAACTTATGATGAATCTTGTATTACATTTTAAAATCTTAGACTTAAAAAGAAAATTTTTTAGGAATTTTTAACTGTAAATAATTTGCACATTTTCGTGATTTTTATGCCTTTTGTCAAAATTCAAACTTTAAATGCTTATAAATAAAAATTGGGACTATGGATTTTTAATATTTTACAAATGTCATTGTAACAATCTATTAAGAGTCTTGTATTGTATTAAATTTTTTAAAAAGTTTTATTACCCAACAAATACAATTTTATTGACATTCATAGAAAAAAAAACTAAAAAATTGGAAACTGAAAATGTCCGTAAACAGTTCAAAACAAATCAATACTTTTTGAAAATTTTATCGTGGATAGTTTATGATAATATAAACAACCAGTGAAAATAACATGTATCTACGGTAATTCGTATTAGAGTTATACCAAAAACCAAAATCTATTCACGTTTACCTTAATTGTTTTTTTCCCCTGCTCTTTCGAAAAAGTACTGTTGATGAAAACCTAAGCATTTTTACTGTCCTAAAGGGTGATGACAGATACAAAATAATATTTTTAAATTTAAAAAAAAACACATATCATTGTAAAATCAATACATTCATCCCTCACTCATAACCTAAATGAGAATTTTTACTAAAAGCCAATTTTCAACAAAACCGATTAATAATGAAATAATAATAAGATTCATAATTTGTCTTACGAAATTCATCAGTATCAAAAATTTACAAATAACTTTTCAGTTAGGAATTAATAAAATATTTTCAAATGTAAGTGATGAAAAGAAATGTCGAAAAATTGTAAATTATATTGTAGTTAAAAATGTATAAAATGATAATTTGTTTAGTTAAAGATTGAAAAATTAAAACATAGTTATTCATAAGTAGTTGATATTGTAACCCAAATCTCTAAAAATATATTCACACAGTTTTTTTTATAAACATTTTAAGTTCGAATCTCACAAAATAAGATATGTACCTAAACGAAAAATAACGTTTTTAGTTATTTTTTTGTAATTTAAAAATATTATTTGTAAGTACATACAACTTTTAAAGTATATAACAAATTAAATGTTTTCGACAAAGTAAATTTAAGAGGACACTATACCCGCATGCGTTGTCTCCGTCTTACAAATGAACAACATAGCAAAAAACTGTTTTGCGCGGGAAAGAACCGAGAAGGCTACAATCATAACTAAGAAACGATATTTTCACCACATAAAAAGAAGAACTTTGGCTGTGCAACGTTGTTTTTATTTTTTTGATATCATTTATATGAAAAAAGTTTTTCAAGTTTGAAAAACACAAACAATAATGGTTTTTTAAACAGTAAGAACTTTTTTCATATAAGTGATATCAAAAAAATAAAAACAACGTTGCACAGCCATAGTTTTCCTTTTTATGTGGTGAAAATGTCGTTTCTTAGTTATGACTGTAGCCTTCTCGGTTCTTTCCCGCGTAAAATAGTTTTTGATATGTTGTACATTTGTAAGACGGAGACAACACATGCGGGTATAGCGTCCTCTTAACATACTGTCACTTGTCAGTATAAATTACTCTAATAACAATATTATAAAATATACTTATATTAATACTTATAGGCAGACTATCTTTGTTCAGTTTCGGTTTTCGTGTACAATGATTTTATATCATTGAATTGAAGTTTAACACATCCATTAAAATTACCCATTTGAAATCTAATGAACAGCAGAGCCGTACCCACTATTGCCACCCTCTTTTTACATTAATACTTCATTACTTCTATAGTATGTTTAATGTTATGTACATAATATGTATGCTTAAAATTAAAACCCATTAACCTATACCCACCCAAAATTTGGAGGAGCGGTTGCTACTCTAGACCCCCTTCACCACGCCACAGAGGCATATATACTTTGAATATACTCGTAATCAATTATGTGCTAAGTAGGTTGTAGGTACTTAATCTAATTTAAATTGTAATACATTAATATACTATTATAATATATATAGTATTCACATTTGTGTGTTGTGTTATTAATTTTAGGCAATTATGTAAACATAATCACATATGAACTGGGCATTCTATACAACTTAATAAATTACGAAAATTGCTGAAAATACAATTAATATGATGTTATATTTTATTCTATTTACTTACCTTACTATTTTTTATTTTCTATCATTAGTTTTATATTTAATAGTCTATTTAATAGATTTTAGTTAACCTACTTTGTATTATTGTTTAATATAAATTGGTTCCTATTTAACGGAAAAAAATAATTTGGTTATGGTAAATAGTTGGACATATTTTGGTTGGCCTAACAATACACAAGATTACACCAACTAAGACTTAACGTTGAGAATACTAAAAGTGAATAGTTTTAATTTTTGGTATTTTCAATATAATTAACGGTAATTGCAACTATATTTTATAGTTCGTAAAATATTTAACCATAATGCAGGGTTCAATTAACACTTTTAAAATGGTTAGAGTCCAACAGTTCGTACTACTAAAGTATACGGTTCAATTAACAATAAAATAAGGTTATTACTTATTTCAACCAAAACTATATGGTTAAAAATATTGAAATTGATAAAAATAGTTTTAAAAATAAAATTATTATCAATTAATTACCAATTGATAAAATACTAACAAATACTTTTTTCTAATTATGTATATAAAATATCACACAAAAATGTATTAATAAAATTAGAATTTCTAAAATAATAAAAATAGCTGATTGAAATAGTGTTAACATTTTCACTAATTAATTCGTTGTAAGAAAAAATAGAGAAACGATAAGTATAAACTAATGTCACTACAATATAAGAGTTAAATATTTTCTAAAATCATCTAAGTTAGGTACGACAATAAAGTATTTTAAATACCTTTTATAAAAATATTTATAATCACTGACTAGTGACTATGAAGGAATCCAGTTGTCCAGAGGGGATGGTCCGACAACCTTACGTCAATTAAATAATTCACAAGATTTAGACAAATTTCATCAAAATCTTAAATTCAAAACTTAATAAAAATTAAAAACTAATGTGGCTTTACGTTAAACATTATTTTTAGTTTTTGTGATGAGAATTTATGACTTCAGAGAAATCTTGTTTTAAATTTTAAAATCTAAACTATAAAAATTAAAAATTAAATGTAGTTTGAACTTTGATGTACAAAATAGTTTAACAAATTATTATTAATTTTACGAAAAACGTCAACGTTTGAAATTTAAATTTAAAAAAAAATGATAACGAAATTGTTTTTTCAATACTTTTTCATTGCTATAAGAAAACTTTTTGAAGATTTTTTTATTAAATTTACAATCTTAATAAGTCACAAACAACCTTTTTATCACGTCGTATAAGTCGAATAAAAACTTAATTAAGTAAAACATTTCGAATGTCTATAAATAGTTCAAATAGAACCAAAATATTTTTTAATTTGTATCATGTCTTGGAAATGCATTTATAAATATTAATGAAAACGTCAAATCTACATAGATATATAATACTATTTACAGCAAAAAAAAAAGAAATCGATTCTTTCAAAATCCCGATTATCCTAAAGATTCTTGTTTTTCCGTATTTTTGTATTCTAGATTATTATTTTAAAAATGCCCGGCTTATAGTTTTTCTGAAAATGTTGACTGTTGAATCATTAATTTTCGTACACTATTTCGTTAACTTTGTTGATCGTTTTAAGTTTAGTTTATCCAACAATACCTTAGTAAAAGTAAAATAATTGGAATATATAAGTATAACCTACTTATTTGTGTATATATTATAATATATACGTAATCTATATAGATTTTAGATTTATATATATATATATTAACATAATATATAGATCGGTTACTCAAGATTAGGTTAGGTGTATAGATATCTATACTTCCAGAGGTATCTGTTCTAAAAATGTATGAAATGTTTTTTTGGTCCTCACATTATCTCATCTATCTATATATATACTAATCACTAATCATGATTACTGCAGTAGTAAATTATTACATGAATGATATTTTATATTACACCGTGCAGTGACCAAGATACTGGATTGGAGTTCGACTGGCTACTTGACGGCGGCCATTCAATCGTCAATACACTTGTGGTCGTGCCACACACAGAGCGTCCAGTACACGATCGCCGCTGTGGACTCGCACGGCCCGACGCAGACCGATGGCGGCCCGACGAAGACCACCGTCGGCTGTCTGAAATGGGACGTGCAGGGCGAAAAACTGGGATATTCGTTCACTGTGGATCGGGGTGAAGACTCGTCGTTCGATTCATCGGGTGATTCGTGGGGTGACGGAGGTCTCGGCGACTCGTCGCTCTTAGAACGGATAAACGCGTACGCGGCACGCGATCGGCGATTCTCATCAGAGCAGGACGACCCGGACGCGACGTACAGATCTCCGGCCATAAATGCGTCTGCAGAGGATACGTACCAGTCATCGCGGCGAAACAATAACGCGACGAAGAGCACTGGACACATAAAGGTACAGGGATTTCTCCGGGTAAATTTCTAGGCTGGGGCGTCGAAATTATTCTTGTAAAAGGACTTGTTACATTAAAAAAAGCGTACTTATACATAAAATGACAAAAATATATGGAACCAATGGGCAGTATTGTAATAATGTTATTGTTTGCATAACTACTCCCAAGCATTTTTATATCCTTATCTATACTGTAGTTGTTAAGCAAGTCGAAGTCAGCTTGATAAAAGTGTAAGAGTGCTGTCAATTTTTAGTTATGCTGCACAGCGACCAAAAATAAAATCAATCCAATTCAACGATCAAAAGTTACTTTACAGAAAAAGCCATCATGTCTCGTAGAATCGTCCAGTATTGATCTTATTTTTAATTATTATTTGAAATAAGAAAAGCTTACCTACTATAATGGCATTGAAGTTTAATTTTTTAATTAACTTTAGGTAAATAACGCCTGAACAATTTTTTTTATAGATATTTGAAGTTAATAAAATTATATATTTAAAAAAGAACACATAACACTTACATATACTTACACTTAAAAAGTTTACCAGTTTACTGTAGCCCGTAGGTAAATCCACAGTAATTTTTTTTATCAGCATTATAAGTTACAATTTTGAAAAAATTAGTCAAAATCATTTTGTATTTAAAAATGTATAAACATTTTAGTATTCATACCTAAGGTTATAAATTTAATAAAAGTATGTATACAAGCATCAGTTTTGAGGATAAAATTATAAAATATATGATTTGAATGTAATTGTACAAATATTTTTTATGAACATTTGAAATCTCCACTCAGAATTTATTTTCGTAATATAACACATCCATTACAGTGCCCTTTTCAATGACGGGGCTTACTCGACACCAACAGTACCAGTGTGTTTTTATGAATTTTTTACAAATGTTCAGTACATTTTGTAGTTGGTACGGTTTAAGTACAATTTAACTTTAATTTTAAAACATATATTATGTCAATATTGTGTAACATATTTTAAACTTTAAAAGAAAATATGTTTGGATACTTGGATCCTTGCCCATTCGTATATAAATTTTATTTTTCCTCAACGTTTTGTCTATAGTTACCTATATACCAGTATAGGGACATTAAAATTTATCTTTAGAAATTAAAATTACTAACAGTTATATTTTTATCGATGTTTATATTATTATTTAATAATAAAAGTTTGTTGCAATTTAATTATTCGTCCATTTGTAATAATAATATAAAGTAATTTGCTTTTTACAATCTTTCATAGATTTTAAGGCCGGTTTGGCTTTAGTTGTTTTTAAGTTATACAATATATTCTGTCTATATTATTAATTAATTGTTAGCTATACAGTATACAGCTTATAAACTGTTAGCTATAAATTGAAAAAAAATATGTTTGTACATGCAATATGTATTTACGTTCACAATTTCAAGTATAAACACACTCGGTATTCGTTATGCAAATAGCTTTAATGTAAACATTAAATAAATACAATTTTGATTATTTTATTAAAGCACATTTGGACGAAATTATATAATTAAACAAAGAATAACAATTTAAATTATTTTGTGGTAATTCAAAAATATTATTCTTTGTGACTTGAAACTTTTAGGCATATTATTGTTGCCTATATCTTATATACACAATGAAATTGTTAAAACATTTAGATTAATTTTAAGCTATTGTCTATTTATAGTTTATACCATTGGCATATCAACCATAATAATAAATCATACCATAGGTCCATAGTTACCTAGCTGTTTAGTGTTTACGATAATACTAAGAATGATATATAATATAATTCATAATAAGTATAATTAATAAACGGAAAGAAACACAGATTAGCCCATCTCCTTCGATTAGAATTGTTTTTGTTCTTTCGTATACAATGATGGATCATTGAATTAAAATTGAATACGTACCTATATATTAATATATTATAGCATTGATTAAATATATTTAAGGGGATTGGAAGCGACGATTTTCTGTCTTTATCTAACACACGTGCAACATAGGATTATAGACGTGTTCTATGTCCAACGTACCGATTAATCTAATGAAGCGATAAGAATTCTGAAAACAGATTTGAATTTGTCGTCAAGTCTACTTGAGATCGACTTTCCCATATTTTTGATTTTTTGATTTAAACTTCTCCAAAAGTTGAAATTTGTAAATTTTTAAGTACTTTTTATAATATATCATTTTTATGATTTTGGTGGGACAATATCAAAAATGTGGGAAAGTCGATCTCAAGTAGACTTGACGACAAATTCAAATCTGTTTTCAGAATTCTTATCGCTTCATTAGATTAATCGGTACGTTGGACATAGAACACGTCTATAATCCTATGTTCCACGTGTGTTAGATAAAGACAGAAAATCGCCGCTTCCAATCCCCTTAAGTATATTTAATCAATCATTATATTAACTCAATGAAGAAACACTTCACTCAAAAGTCAAAACCAACGTTACTTGTCGTTACAGCAAAACGAGTTCTCTGGTTTTTCTTTAAAAAGAAAAAGAAAAATCTATGTTAATGGATAATATTAATATACATTTTTTTTTGTATTTTATCAGTTATTTATAATTATTATAATTATACACCGCACCTATGTGCACACTTTTCTTATAACATAACTAACATGCAAGCCTGGGCATAATTTTAACTTTTTAAAATTTAATTTTCATCAACCTAATTATTTTAGCTTAATTGTTTTTTATTAGTATAGGTAAACTTAATAAATAACGATTTAATTATTGATTATGCATATTGCATACCTACACATTTGCTGTTTATCTATTAATATAAACCATATTACTGTTTATTTATATATTTAAAAAAAATAAAAATAATGACTTAATTTAAGTTAATAAGTTAATTGTAGGTGTCCATATAACTTTTAACTTAACTGGGTTAAAAAAAATAATAGGATTACTATTGAACTTTTTTAAATGTTTTCTATCAACTTAACTTATAACTGAATTAAAAATTATCATTATAACTTGCCCAGCCTTGCTGACATGTTTATAAATAATTCCTATAATTCTACGATTCTACAATTTGAAATTTTTTATAATATTATTATCATAATATATTGACACATTGTCCACAGGTTTGGTTATTGAATGCACCGAATGACAAATCAAATAATGAACAAAAAACATCGAGTTGTGGTTGTGTAACTGATGACACTTGCGAATGGCTCTACGGATGCAGAATTATTGTCATGGATTGGTTGGCCAACGGTCATGTTTTAGTGACGTTAGTTATAATATTAATTATGATAAATATATAATATGAATAAATTTGAATAGTTAACATAAAAATATAATGTACTCGTAGAATAGCCGACAACATTACCTGTGTAAGCTTGAAATATTAAATAGATGCTAGCCTATTGCCAATATATTTCTTTAACATTTTCTTTATAATATTTTATTCAAAAATTCAGTTAAAAAAATCCATATTACGTTAAATTATAAGTGTAGTATCATATTAAATGATAAAATCATAATTTGTAGTTTTCAAATTTTTATGCAACCAATTTAATTATCTATGTCAATCAAAATATATATATATTTACAAGCTGATCCTGCGAACATCGTTGTCCATAAAAAATGACAACTCTTAAAAAAATTGTGATTGTTCAACTTATTTTTGGTGTAACTCGCTGCAGTAAGTGCAACTCAGCCACCCTGGTAGGGAATTCGACTATGTCGGATCACGAACAATGTGCGACAGCATATCAAGGATACCGATGAACTGCTATAAGTGCAACTCAGCCCCCTTATTGATAGACAATGTGCGAAAATTTGATTTGATATATGTTTGTACCTGATCTGCCCTAACAACCAATGGCAAACAACAATAAATAAATACCAATTTCTACTAATTATATCTCCTATAAACAACCATTTATAAACAAAATATTCTAACTTAAATATCAAAACCCCTGTTTGAGCACCTCCCCGTTGGCCCTACGTTTATTCTAAATTATTTTAAATTATAAGTGCATATTATATATATTTTACTCGTACATAAAAAAATATTATCTCAAGCAGATCTGATATAGACTGTTTATAAAGAGTTCATATCGGCAATTATCTAAGTACTTGCATGTGGATCGTGTAAATCTGTACGTAATATAAGTGATCGTTAGTGTTATTGTGTGTAAGAAAAATAATAGCGGAGCTGCCAGCACATGCACGCACAATAATAATACGCACTAAACAGATATTAATAATTTCTTTTTTTTGCCAAAGGATCAATCTAAATCTAACATATTTATACGATCAAATTTCTGAAAACCAATTTATATTCGTCACGAAATATACTCGAAAACGAATTTCATGCATTCTTAAATTAATTTTTTCACCTAAGTTTAAAAATCTAATTTCTATGGGATTATAAGAGTTGAATTTCATAAAAGTGAAAAATTTGTTTTTAAATTAACTCTGGGACGAATTCAAAAATGTTTTTAGAAATGTTATCCGATGACCACGATAGCCGGTACAATTGGTACAAGCTTTTTCTATTTTTGTAAATAACCTAGGTTCCGGTCATAGGATCGGATCCTCTTAAATTTACCGTCTTATTTAATACTATATTTCGTCGCACGCCGACACTGTATGTCAGAGATATGGGCACTTCGAGTTACAAAACAACCATCATATTATTATATCATAACCCCATGTTGTTTTGCGTATTTCAGGGGTTGCACGAGGTCCACAGTGACATTTTTCCGGTACGATTTCGTCCAAAAGAAATTGATCACCACTCGCGTCATACACAGGATAGAAAAATATTCGGTAATCAGCTGCCTTCACGTGTCGCAGGACAAATGGAGTCGTCACTTGGCCGTGGCCACTCATTCGCAACAGGCTTGCGTATTGAAAGTTTGGCGCATCGAAGACCCGCTGGAGTTGTGCCCACACTACGATCAGCGTCTCGGTTCGAGTATCAACGTGACCGAAACCTTGACCGACCGTTACGACAGTAAACAGAATGGCCGCGCTAAATGGCTGATCAAGGTATAAATCATAATCGTATTATAATCGTCTGCTGCGATTTGTCGTATGCATAATAATATATAGTACGCAATAATAAAACTATAATATCTTTGTATTGTATGTACATAAATGTCTTACCTAAGTCAAAAACGACTAGGTTAAACAAAACGTTGAAAAATCATTCAAAATCGTAGACAATATTACAGTGTCTGGGCTGATAATTAATTTAATTTAATATTCATTGTACCAACTTTTATGTTGACTATTAAGTAGAACTTTAAAATCAATTCTTCATTATTTTTAAGTGACTTAAGATAATTGGATTATTTTTATATGACTTACGCTATTAGGGCATGCATTTAAAATTATTGCCAAACTTGACTTAAGATTTAAAGACCGTTTTAAAATTATTTAGACCAAAACAAATTTCACTGATAGAGAGTTATAGTTTTGACTTAATAGGGATCTGTACCAACAAAATATAAAATATTTTAATAACACTATAAGACAAAAATGTCAATTTTTGACTTAAGTCATATATACCATACGTCAAAGCTATTATTATTGGTATTGCCGGATCCGGAACTATATTTTTTTGGGAGTTTCTGGTTTGTACTTTTAATGCCGTTTAAAATTATCTTTTAAATGTATACAATTTTCGAGCACCAGCTCGAATATAGGTCTTGAGAATTTACTTCGGAATGAAAATTCATGCATTTGTAAATCAATCTGTGCAAATCGCATTTAGGTGACATAGAAATTAGTTAAAAAGATATACAGGATTAAATATATTATTCGAACTAGACACGGTTAATCATATTTTTTTTTGATTTTAAGTGCCTTATTTTTGGTGCGTAATACTAGTTGACTCCCGAAGTCAAAATTAGTACCTATAATTCTAAATATCTAAAAAAAAATGTGTTTAACAATTACATAATTCTCGATAGTTTTAGTATGAAGTTCTTTCTATACTTAATATAAATCCACATTACTATAGTAAAATAGAAAAATATCTATATAAGACTAATATTTATCATTATCATGTAATATAATTATATTAAATTATACAATATTATGTTACTATAAACTTAGTTTATTATAATCGTAACATAATTCATCTTTTTACGTGGTATATTTATTGAAAATGATGAACTACTATTTAATTATTTATGGGAGGCAACTATGGTGAGGATATTTTTCGAAGGGAACTCATATTATATAGTTATGATCTATATTATGCTCATTAGAGGCAACTAGTTTATTATTATATTAACCTTTCTGTTTACAATAAAAATGGGACTGATAGGAAGCAATTTGTTGATTTTGGATGGTAACTACAATACACCTGCACATATTTTATAATCTTTTCAATCTACTATTTAAATATAATCTATAGATTTTTCACTGATTTTTGTACACATTGGAAGTACTTATATATAATTTTTTAATGAGAGCGTTATAAAAACAAAAAGTTTATAAAAGTGTTTACATAAAAACAGAATTTATTTATACAAGTGGTACACGACTAAAGTAAATAAGCATTAAACAACAAAAATTTGGGTTAAAATAATATGTTTTATTAATTGATTTATAATGTAGGTAATTATTTTTATATTTATGGGTTATAATATCATAATTAACATTTTTGGCAGCGCAATTAAGTAGTGTAAAGCAGGGGCGTCATTTCAACTTTTTTTTGTTGGTGCCAAAACGTTTGCAGGCCATTCAAATCATTACCAGGCCACATAAAAAAAATTGAAATGACGCCCCTGCCACTTGCTAAGAAAAGTGCAAATTATGATAAAAAAGTGCGATAGTTACAATTGTAAAAGATAATATTATGATATATAAGTAGTTTAGAAGTAGTCACCGTAAGGACAATAATATGATAGTTGATGTCACAATGATGTCATGACTCATGAATCATGATTTGCCTATCGCACTATCAAACGTGCAAGATAGTGCAACGTAGTGAATTTGGGTCTCACTTAATATTATTTTTTCATATACTAATGACTATTTCTTTTTAGGGCATTAATGCATTATAGATACCTGAATAACTATTTTTTGTATACATAAGTTAGGTATACTCTACTGCTCAGGGGGTCTCACCATATACAAAACGCCCCTGTCCTGTCAATAAAGTGTTATTAATTAGGTCAAAAAGGTCTTGAAAATTTAATGCAAGGCTCCTAATATATTATTACAATGCCAGTTGAAAAATATTAAAAATACAAAGTCTATGAAGTCACCATTTTTTAATTGAGCATTTTAAGTTCGAATTTTGACAAAATATGTAAAAATCACGAAAATATGCAAATTATTTAGAGTTAGAAATTCCTAAAAATGTTTCTTTTTAAATCTATGATTTTAAAATTTAATATAAGATTATTCATAAGTTTGTCTACTTTATTCAACAAAAACTCTACTTACAGGAAAATTAAATTAAATTTTTATGAAGTTCAATTTTTTACAACATTGGATACTCCCTCGATTTCTCATGTAGCCATTTTCTTATTTTGTTGAATTCAAAAACGAATAACAATAGACACTTTAAATTTATACCATACGTTTATTTTATCAATTTATACACTTGATGACATTTTCAAAATATTTTACTTGTTTCGAGTTGTTTAAAGACATTTTATATTTATATTTTTTTATTTTTTTTTCTATAAATGACAATAAAATGTTATTCATTGGGTCAAAAGTTTGAAATTTTAATAAAAGGCTCCTGATATATTTATACAACAGAAGTTGAAAAATATCAAAAATACATAGGCACAATATTTTTTTATAAGAATTTAAAGTTCGATTTTTTACAACATTTAACAAATTGAAAATTCAAAAATGATTTTGTAGTTAAAAATATATAAAATGTTCAATGTTTTTAACTAAGGATTGAAAATTTAAAACATGGTTACACGTAAGTAGTTAATTCTGTAACCAAAATATCTAAAAATGTACACAAACACAGTTTTTTACAGCTATTTTAAGTTCAAATTTGGACGAAATTACACATACAGTTTTAGTTGTTTTTTGTAATTCTATAATATATCCAACTTACGTCTTGCTGGCTACCGTATTAATAATAGGTGATACCAAATCAATATAAATATAATATAAAATATCCTAGACTGACAAACTGTCTCCTCTCAGAATATTTTATCGTACGCACTATGATATTATATTATTGAATTCAAATTTAATACCATCCATTGTGATGGACCCACTGTATAACCTACTGTCCAGCAGATCGACTTACCCGCTTTTTATTTTTAAGATCGAGTATAAAGTCAAATAACAGTAAAATGAAAAACATAACCGTGATATGTCAAAACCTCATCCAATATTATCCTCTATAATTTGTATAATGGCCGATTTTATTCTAAGATAATTTAAAAATCATAAAACACGAGTTTACACGAATGCGTTTTATCTATGTTTCGCGTGAGTCTGAGAGAGAGACACAGATATAGACAATAAACTAGATTGCTAACTAGTATAAATTGACAAGCAAGCCGGGAGACGCCAATTTTCCGCCATGTTGCTTGTGGGCTAGGGTCTTTTATCAATGCTTATCGTTGTGATAATACTGCAGATAAAATAAAATAATGTTATTATGATATTATTATTATTATTATTATTATTTATTATAAACCACATATTTCTATATTATAAAATACAAGAAGTCTGTGTTATAAACTCAGAAATATTTAATAATGTACTAACTAATAATAACAATTAAAAAAAAAACTTCCTACTAAAGTATCTTAAAAAAACTAGTCTTACTACTAAAAACAACATAATACATAGGTAATATTTATCTATTTCAGATGCACAAAATATGTATGAGTACAACTTACAAATTATTAAACAAAATTGATTTGTGTAACTTTTGTCTTTTGTTTAATAAATTAAGTATCACGTTAATCATATTATTATGATAACACTTCATAGCCCACAACAAACATGGCGTTTTTTGGCGACAGCTGATAACACTAGTTGGCAATCTAGTTTATTATCTATATCTGTGGAGAGAGAAAACATATATTGCGCTGAAATCCCATTATCTGTAAGATTAGGAGGATCCTTCCACTGTTTAGCCCTAAGTCCACATGGATACCTAATCTACTATCACTGTGTATAATCTATAATATAACCGTCACAATTCCCGAATTTATAATATAATAATATATTGACACGAGTATCTATTATACATAGTATTTATCATTATCATATTGTATTATGTTTAAACATAGGCCTTCGCTTGGCACCCGTGGAAACACGCTCTGATGTGTTACGCTGTCACAGCGGTCCCGCAGGACGGTGCGCAGATGTACATCAATCGCAAGTGTCCGTCGTGGTTCGTGTTGGCGAACGCTTGCAAAGGACAAGTGTTGAAGCGCGTCGAACAGACCGCAAGCAACTGCTGTCCGACTGTGGACATAATGCACGTCAACACGCACTCGATGACGTTCAGCCGACTGACCGGCGAACTTCTGTTGTCGGCCACGACCGTGTACAGTGTCAGTGAGTACAACGATAATAACAGTTAGTACCTATAAGTGATATAATATATTAATATGATTAGTGTCACCCTCGTGCACGGTACACGGGTTACGATAGTAGATAGGTTTGGTTGCGTACCTACGAATAATAGTTGACCGCACCAAAATTTGATGATGTGTACTTACACAATAAACCCTTGTGGCTTGTAGTATGTTTAACATACAGGCAATATTAATAAGATTTTAAGGAAAATACAAATTTTAGATATATTTAAATACCTACCTGGCTACCTATATGCTAATTACCTATAACAGTTCAAAGCAGGGCTTGCATACGTTACGATTATAACGTTATATTTGAAAAAAAACAGATTGCAATTTGTTAACGTAATTATAACGGAAAGCCATGTTCAAAAATAATTAAATACCGCAAACAATACATAACGATTAACAAAATATATTATATTTATATACCTATCATTAAACAAACCATAACGCAAATCTTAATTTATAGAATATCATTAAACAAAAAATAACGAAAAACATAATTTATAGAATATCATTGAACGAAAAATAACGTAAAATGAAATATTTTATATCCATTTATTTAAAAGGTCTATTGATTTCGTTGAAACATTTATTTCATGCAAACAATCTAAGAATTGATTACCATATTCCGTATCTGGATCCATTAGTTATTAATTTTAAATTTAATAGGTATTAACACTACCTATTTTAAATACGAAAAACTTGTACTTATAACGGTTTAGTTCTAGATAACGATAAACGCAAAATTTGGATAACGTTTTAATTGTAAATAACATAAACGCAAGTTTTCAAATGCAAGTCCTGGTTCAAAGGTATACTTAATAATATAGTGATCATACCGTTGATACTTGATAGTATTGCATGATTATTACGAAATTATAATAAAAAAACGGGTTCAAGCGGTAAAGAACGGAGAAACTTATTGATAAGTAAACAAATTTCAGCATAAAAATATGAAAACATTACTGTGAAATATCGTTTTTATTTTTTCAATATGGCGTTAGCAATAATCAAATTTTTCTAAAGTTACTGGAAATGAAAACAAAAGTGTAGGTAGCGAAATACGACCCTAAATACTCCTTGGGGAGTCCGTGCCCGACCTCACAATTTAAACACTCGGTGTTCCATAGATATAGATATAATAGATCCATCGTCAATCATTTCCGTATATATTATTGACGTTTCGACTCTATATTATTGCGGTATGTTGATATTTATACCATGGGTCTGATTGTTTTTTTTTTTACAGGATACAATGCATATTCCGCTCCCGTTTTAGTAGAAAAAAACAGCGTCGTGGTGATGCACGCCCTGGATCGAATCGTCGAGACATTGAGCAGTAGCCATACGGATAGAGGACTGTTTTTCGCATGGAGTCCGGACGGAAAACGTATAGGTATAAAATATTATATTGAATTAATCACACCGCATTATCACGTTTACTACCAAGCTTGTTAAATCAAATTAAAAACCAAGTCATATCAATCCACGTGTGGTCCACTATTTGACCATTTATTTCACAGTAAAAATACATTTCCGGCACACAATTAATATTGTGATAATAGGGATAACATATTTTGAGGTACCTACCTAATAGAGTTTCTTAATTTCTTTATATGATACACAAATATTAACATGGTGCCATAGTGAGTTTAGAGCAGCATTGTACTTCTAACGTTTTATGTTTAGTTTCGTGACTGAAACAATAAATAAACAATATGCACCACACAATCTATAGTCATCGAACAGTGAACGTGTCTGGTTGTTATAATAATATATACAGTGCGCTGTTATACATCGTCGATTCTTTTGTTTCTATATATTTAAATAAAATTTGGTTTATCATTGTTTTGATACTATATAGCATTGACGAGTTCCGACGAATCGTTGAGAATATGGAACTTTTGGCCAATCAGTAACGTCCAAAAAAAATCGAATAATTGTCCGCCGCACGTTTACACCACAAATGCAACTTCCTCGGTTACTTCGGCCCATTTCACGGAGGATGGAGACTTCAACAACAGCAATTACAGACTTTTACACAATCGGAGCTCTCAAAATAGCCAATCAGCGATGTCCGAGCTATCATTTGATGCGGCTCGTATAATAAAATGATCGCCGATAAGACGTGCGTTATGTTGAATTTACGTCACTCAAAGGGCGTGACAATAATAATTTACCTAACATTTATAAAAGTTTTTCGAGTCAATTAATAAAAAAAAAAAACTATCATAGTTAAGTACTAAAAGTTAACCATTACATTTGACCCAAGGTTAAATGCCTACTTAACTTGGGATAACTTATGTACATATGTCATAACAAATTACAATTTTATCGTTGGTTTCTTATCTTTCCCTATACATAGATAATATATTTATTTTACCACTACGATTTCCGTAATCTTTGTTTCTATCTTTATTTTTTTTAGTAATTATTTTACATTTTTACACATATGTTCACCGTAGGCAGTAGGCACATTTTTCTCAGTTTGTATAAATATGATTTTAATTTTGTATTTTTATATTTTTTTATTACTTATTATTGTTGAACGTATAATTACCATTATCATTAGTATTGTGTTTGGGTGGTATTTAAAATTTGCAACTGTTGTACAATTTAATTTTTACACAACGTGCATTATATATTATATAGTACGTCTTACTATTTATTATTATTATTATTTTTATTATATTAAGTTTATTGCTGTGTAGAATAGCACTAATGGCCATGACGCTGAACAATAAAATAAAATATCATGTGGTATTATACCACCTATATATTGTGGCTATATCTTTATTCTTTATCATTCTTATTCTTGGATCTGTAGTCAGAACAAGGCTACAAATAAATACAGCTGAACAATAAGTATGCAGTTATGTATAGAGTGATTCATCAAGCATGCCCATCCCCTCGATCCATCCCGCTTCTATCCTTTAGTAATACATTTATTAAAATTCTGATTGTTAGAATTTTTAAGCATACTACCTTACTTGAAGGTTTTAACAATAAAAAATAAATAAATTTCTTGGCGAATCATCCTGTATAATAATCCTGATTCTTGGACTATTTCCGGGCTATATAACATAAGCGCCAAAGGTATAAAAATGCACATATAAATTGCGCCAAAATATGTAAGACATCATAAGCGCCAACCTAATTTTATATATCTGTTATATCCGACATATGATAGAAGCGCCAAAGGTGCAAAAATGACATATTATTTGAGCCAAAATTAATATTTTATATAAGTAGTTATTTAAAAATGTCGATCTTATAAAAAATTGTCAATAAATATAAATGAAATTAATAAATTATAATTTTAATAAATTGGTTCCTTTTTTCGATCTTATTAAAAATGTTCAATGATAGTTTGTTAAAATATAATAAAACAGTTCTACATTTAATATCAGCTATTAATAATGACACACTACAGGTATCTAGAATTTCGTCGCTTTCGTACTATACGATTTTGGCACTTTTGTACGACACAACTTTTTTTTAATCTCATTTTGGAGCTTATGTCTTCCACTAGTGCAACTTCCGCCTTATTTCCGAACCTTCGCTTTGTCGCAATACCACATTATATTATTATAATGTTAGTAATATTAGTTATTATAATTTATAGTGTCACATAAGTTTACCATTAACTTTAGAACAATTCTATATTTTAACAAAATAGGAATATTAAATTGCAAATTATTTTTGTAAGATCCACATAGGCTATATTTGATCTAAAGGTTTTATTGGGAGGGGGGATTTATAACACTTGAAAACTAAATCATAACATTCTTAAATTGTAATTATTTAGCACTGGAGTCTGGAACTCTGCAGTTTAAAATTATACATTAAAAGTGGACCCCTAAAAGAATCAATTTTTGTTTTTAAATAATATTTTTATCGTCTAAGTGTCAAAACATTTTTCCACTGTTACATATTATATACTTTCGCTACCCAGAAACAGTCATTAATTATTAAATCAATTGAAATCATATTTTATTTCAATATTCTGGTATTAAAAAAATTTAAATCTCTGTGAGTTCGAAACGTTGCACTTTGTTAAAAAAAGTTTATGTGATCAAAGCATTATACACTATATAGGGTGGTTCTATTAAGAGTAAACACTCAATATTTCAAAAAGTATCAATGTTTTTTTGTACACATAATTTGGAGTCATAATGAAACAGAAAAATTTTAAACATGATATTATAATATTTTATTGATTTTTTCTGATATCATTTTTCGTGTTCTTTAATTTGCTGACAACACACTTTTTTATTCCATATTCATAAGCAGGTTGCTTCTCTTAAAGTTTCTATGTATACAAACCGAATTTTGAACATACGGTAAATTAGTTATTAATAATTATTATTACATTATATACAAAAACGTATCAAACTGCTAACCACGTGCAGGGTTGACAAGAGACACAAGATACAAAATCAATATTAATATGCATAGGTTGATTAGGTTAAAAATACATTGGTTAAAAAATGATAAAGTTTTATGAGCTAAAGAGTTACCTATATACGTTTTTATGAGCGTAGAGTTGTAGTAGAACAACATTTTATGGGTAGTGCTGATAGGCGGGTAAAATGGGGTAATCTGGTAAAACGAGGTACGGCCATTATCTGGTTAAACTATAACCTTTTGAGTTTTGATAATAAATTTAGCTCGGATTATCATAAAAAAAGCGTATAAAAACCACAGACTTCAATAGGTTATACTAACATCGAGATCGATAAGAATACTGGAGAGTATACCTCTATATTATGATATATCTGCAACTTTAAAAAAAAAATCGGTTGACGGTGTACCTGCGTCATTTACAGGGATTAATAAGTCCGGCGATCGAAGCTATTCCGTAACAATGTACTGATGTGTACCGGCGCGCTGTTATTCCTAGTTTAGAGATTAGGGACGTGTTTTAAAGAAATGATGCAAAGATTCTGTTTAAAAGATTAAAAGATGTGTTTATTGACTTATTAAAATGATTTTCTGTATAAAAATGAAAAGAGGTTCTGACTGGACGCCTGTGTCTACGAGACTGCCGAGGCGGCCGTGACCAAGGGGCCCTTCTGTACAACGGCCAGGGTGGGAATCGCTGGATCAGCAGATTCCTGGTCGAGCGTCCGGCTCCGTAGTCACGTACGCCAGTATACATATCATAATACAAATATTATACTCTAATATAACTATATACTACATACTATGCTTACATATAACATGCCCCCAGGGCCAAACCAGAGCAGTCCCTGCGACTTAATATACTAAAAAAAACAATATATATATAATTACAGAAAAATTAACATTCAGTTTCTGCTATTTCCGGCTTATAAACATAGGTTTTTTGCTTTTTTGATTTTACAAATAAAAATACGATAACTATTACTACTATTAAAATACAAAGATATTCTACAATAATATGATATTCCATTGGAACTATTAAAATGTTTTCTGTTATTCTATTATTCGATTTTCGTTCTATTGTGGATTCACGTATTGCTTGGCGGAGATTTTTATATAAACCAAAATGACTGAGTGTATGGGGATTAATATCTTCTATATCTAATTCCTTGATGTTACTTATATTAAACAACGGACTTTCCGGTACTAAATCTAATGTATGGTTAATAAATGTGTTTAAGATAGGTGACATTATTGCCATGGTTGTGTGTAGTATACAAGAAGGAGAGATACTAAGTCGGCCAATGCCTTTAATATTAAACTGGAATGATTTTTGAGGGTTTTTACAATTTAGGGTTACAAATTCAGAACGAGTACAATAAATCCAAGAATCCGTTTTAAATAATCGGTTCCAAATGCTTACATCAAGTTTTATGTATTTACTTTTACATGAAATCGGAAGAAATTGCGGATTTTTTAAGATTTCTACCTCGCACATTTTAGAGGATGCCCTTCGTTGAATTGGTTCATTGCCTTTGCAAATGGTGTATGAAGTTAGCCTAGTACAAGAATCACTTTGTTGTTGAGTCAAGGTGAAATAGAATTCGCTATCATCGCTAAAAGCTATATAATCAATCTCTGGCTCAATGATAACAGCATTGTCCTCCTTCATAAAAAAGGGTAATGGAATGGGGTGATACATGTCGTAGCTATTTACAGTGATTATAGGGAAATGCAATGCAAAAACGAGAAGAAAATCTTTTTGTAGTATGGAAACAGAAGATATTGAGAAAAACTCTGGTACATTCTGTATTTTTGGTTCTACTGGAAGTTGGGTTCCTGCAGGTAACGTTAATTGGATTGCTTTAAGTTCCTTAATAAGCTTAATTGGTGGTAATACTGTGGAGTGAATTTTTCCATGAATTGCTGAATTTATAATAGAAATGAGATTTTGCGTTTCGTACGCGTATTGATTAAGGAGTGATTCTAAAATAATAGATTGTTCTAACAAAGTGGTTTTTACCATTAATGTATTCACTGTCATAGAATTTTTGTTTGCCTGAGTTTGTAGAAGTTGAAAATTTTCTTTGAGCTTTTGTTGATGGTCGGATATGTTGCTGATCGATTTTGAAATCTCACTCATAGTTGTTTGGAATAATCTAGTTTGATTTTCTACTAAATCACTTGTCGGTTGTTTCATCATGGAAAGATCCTTAATCCCTTGAAGAATCGAATTTACATCTAAAAATGATTTTGAGCTGAATAATACTTTTGCCAGCTTGGTGAGTGAAGTACCAAAACTGCGACGAACTCGTCCTTCCGCACTAGTATCCTGCCCTATTGTTGTCCAAATATTTTCCAGATTGGCTTCGATTTCGAAAAAATATGTATTAATGGATTGATCGAATTGTTTGCATGGATGCCAGAATTCGGTTACATTAACTTTATATTGTAGATCAGTGCAAACTTCTGCCGTGGCTTTATATGTTGACCTTAACAACTGAAATTTTGAATTAAAATTGGATAAATCCACAAAAGTTATGAGGTTCCAATCTGTGTTAGTGAGTTTGATATGTTCCCTGAATTCATAGTACATCCCCATGTGGTCCGAGAAGGTATTCAAGCTAATTAGACTTTCTGGAAGTTGTGTAATACTTTCTGCTTGCACATCCAGTGGGACAGTTGCTACCAGCCTGTAAGATTTCGATTAT